TAATTTCAATTCATGTGTGAATAGTGGTGTGCATCCTGACATCACATACGAATGTTATTAACTTCGCTACACTTTTTGAATAAAGTTCTTTACTATTTCTACATTGGAATCTTAAAAGAACATTTCACATTTTTTATAAGAAAACATAATGGCATGATGTAAAAATGGCACATCGTCTTTGAATGAAATCTAAGGCCATCTGCAGTATCTAGAAAAGTAATACAATTATGATTATAAAATATACCACTAATTAAAGAAACTGTTGTTTGCAAAAAATTGCCTCAGAATGTTCTCTTATATTATTCTGAAGTATTTTGTTACAAAAAAAATATATTTTTTTAAAATACATAATTTTGCAACTTTGCGATTTTTGGAAGCATGAATGAAATTCAAAAAGTATAATGATTGTGTGAAAACAATAGTATATTCTTCAACAAGCACACGATTTTTATTATTTCAAGTTGATGTTTACGACATAAGTGATGTAGAAGCGAGTGTCGTAATTTCTGCAAGTACATAATAGCCATGATGCGCAAGTAGAAGACTATTCTTTCTCTACGACTCTGAAATATTCAGAATAGATTTTGAACAGATTTTGTTTTATTTGAAACTCAAGTATAAGAATAAAATGTAAGCTTCTAGTTTTACTTCATTGGTTATGTACCCTGTTCTTCTTTACATTGAGTAAATCTTCAATAAACTAGAGGGTTTATAATGTTGAGAAAGTTTTGAATTTGAAAGCCAAGGAAATGTTCTCACTAAAAGAATTCACCTTATTGCTTTTTCTCCATTCCATAAATGTTGATTAAGATTGTTCATAATACTTCTTTGATGATTCTGGCAATAATTGTGGAGTTGTCAAATTCAATATTACCTAAATTTCAGGCGGAGTACAAATTTCATTGTCACTGTCGTTGGCTTCAAGATTAATTTTCTATTGAATGATTGAATGAATTGCAAACCATAACAAGAAATATGAGTACAACAATGTATGTGCATGAAACCACAAAATCATTCCTTTGTCAATTGCAGTTCCAAAGAAGCACGAATTGCAAAGACAATGCTATTCTGCCCATGGATTCCAAAAATTCTAGGAATGTGATTGATCAACATTCCGAACTGGAATCCACAGGGTGTGTAATCAATGTTATTCATCGATTAAATATACAGCAGGAATACATATATCATTAAATAGTAGAAGAGAAAATAATTTATACAAGTGTTTGATTGAAAAGTAGTTCTAAAGGAAGTTAAAGAATATAAATATTGTGGGCCACCTTATTTCCAGCAAAGTACCATGTGAGGTAATTAGACAGCAAACATATGTGAACTTCTAGGCAAGTCTGATTTAAACCATGATATACAGTGGTAAGAAAAATAATTCATTTTTTGATTAACAAGTCTTGTTATAAATTTTGTAATTAAAAACAATACCCCAATACCATTAACAAACCAGTAGTGGCAGAATGAAGATAAAAAGAAAATGGCAACTATATTCCATTTGGTTCAATGATTCATTTAAAAATTGAAACCTTCCTTTCCATGTATAAAAAGGAACAATTCAAAATTGGAAAGTTTTATGGTTAAATCATTACTAACTAAAAGTCTCACCACAAGTCATACCAAACAATCTTAGAACAGGAATATCATTAAAATATAGTATAATAGTGTCATAACAAAACTTTGGCGTAACTAATAAATGAAACACTTAAAAAACAAACTTATGGACTAGTTATACTTTTTTTTACCCATTTTTACTGTTTCCTTAATGAACCACAATGAAACTCTAAATTTTAAGAAAATGTAATTTTCATATCAGTCAGAATGTCTTTAATACACAATTGTATAAGGGGGGACAATATATTTATCCCTAGAATTTCGAAACGTCAGCCCAAAGAGTCAAATGCAAAATGAACATCTATCTTGCCTATATATTCTATAGTTAATACAAAAATATAAAATTCATGGAAACCTCAGATTCTGCCATTTGCTGCAATAATTCCGGGGTTGTCTCCGATATTAGGTCCATTCCACGCTTTAACCACTCAAGACTTTCCTGCATTTTAGCGATGCTGTCCATTTTTCATTAACTTTTTGAATCGCGTAAGAATAGTAATACCAATCAGTGCACACTAAAACAAAATTCAACACAACTATATAAATTAATGAAATTATAACATCGAAAAGAATGCCACAAAATATAAGTAAGCCCAGTTCTGAAGCTGGTTCTCAGCTAGTTTCCCGAAGTTCTCTGATTTCGTCAATTCGGTCTTTCGTCATATCTGGCCGTTTCTGTCATATGGCTCTTATCATCAGCTTATTATTTAGACAGCATTTACCAATTCTCGTGTGTAGTACACAGTACAGTGTACACTGTGTACGTGGCCCTCCAGGTCAGCCAACACCATCTCGATAATTCAAATCGTACTCAAGACTGAGGGGATTCCCCGTTTTTGCCAAGAATCGAAATTAACGGTAGCCAACTCAAACTGTTCCAAACGCTGAGATCAATTTCAAACGTGATCAAGATCAACATCGCGATCATACAACGCGATAACATCTGTGAAATAACACGCTTGATAAAAAAAAGTCCCACACTCCACAGTTATCCTGAAGGTCACGTATTTAGCAGCGGCGAATTTCTATGTCACGTTACTTCAAAAACAGTTAGATCAGTTAACTGCTGCTACAATGGGAGGTTACCACAATTTAAGTGATTTTGAACGTGGTGTTAGAGTCGGCGCAAGAAAGATGGAGCATAGCATCTTCGAGATCGTGATGAAATTTGGATTTTCCCGTACGACCATTTCACTAGTGTACCGTGAACATCGGGAATCCAGTAAAAAATCAAACCTCCGGCATCAATGCGGCCACAGAAAGATTATGCAAGAACGGGACCGACAACTGAGAAGAGTCATTACACGTGACATAAGTGCAACTCTTCCGCAAATTGCTGCAGATTTCAATGCTGGGCCATCAAGTGTCAGCGTGCGAACCATTCAACGAGATATTTTCAATATGAGGTTTCGGAGCCGAAGGTCCACTCATGTACCCTTGATGACTGCAGGACACAAAGCTTTACGCCTCGCCACAGGGCCCAACACCGACATTGGACTGTTGATTACGGAAACACGTTGCCTGACGTGACGGTGATAAGTCCCGTTTTACATTTGGTTCCAAAACTTTTGGTTGCATGTTATATTCCAAGAGTTCCAATGTTTATAAAAATTAATACTAAGATTCTATAGATAAACTTTATATCTTACAGATTTGAAAGAAAAAATGAATAAATACTTTCACTTTGAAAGAAAAAATGAATTAATATTATATTAAATATATTAGGAATAATTAGGGAGTGGATTTCTATGATTTTGCATATTTTTGTCTGTTGCTCAGGTCATATCTAAGTAACATTTCTTGATATTTGGTTAGAATTGGATGCTATGTAGATTAACACGTTAGTGAATATTGGCTGAATTTTCCTATTGGTGCATATTTGTGTAATTATAGAAGCATATTTTGTTAAAATAGAGACTAACCTCTAAAAGTTTCATGGTTTCAAAGAATCTATTTATTTGAGAGCATTCGTTGATACGAAAGAGCTTGTCACAATTTGAGTTTTTTCTTTTCTATAATGATAAAATACTTGTGTAAATGTGGGGTATTTCTTGATATCATATCTTACAACAAGCAGAAAAAATGAAAGAAGATATACTATGTATTTCACTAAGGTGCATATTTTCTTCAATTATTTTTCCTGAGAAGTAAGCTAGGTTATATTATGTTTGCACAAAAATATATCTTTTCATTCCACGTATGCTTCTCCTGAATTTTATCAAGAAAGGTTTATTTAGGAAATGAAATATTGTTAATTTTAATTGTACATTAAAGAGCATATTTCATAATTTTAGGCCATAAATGCAAATTAAAGTTCATATTTCAGAATTTTTAAGTCATAAATACATATTTTGATTATCATATTTCAAGATTTTTTAGGGCATAAAAATTATCTTTCAAGTAATTATAATAAATATTTTTCTCTTATCTACCAGGCCAATATTCAATATACAATGATAATTTAAATTTTATTTCGTATAAAACCTTTTGGAATTGTGTACTGCACACTTTGTCATAATTTTAAGTTTATTCACCCAAGTAAGTCAACAATGAAGTCTTAAAATTAAATGATATTTTTATAAACTTTGTAAATCTTGTAATGTAATGTAAATGTAACCAAAAGTTATAAATGCAGTCTGTAAAACTAATTAGCTTTAAGATAATATCATTATAATTCTTGACGAGATTAGCATTACAATAAATTAATTCAAATAGAATTTCCTTTATGATTGGAAGAGTGATTTTTATTATTTGAGGGGAAACTTTTCTGTCTGATCTATCTACCTGCCACTAAAGTAGATCAACATTGAAAATGTGGAAATACAGTGTATAATATAATGTTTTTAAATACTCGGTGAATTAACATGTTGACTGACAAGTGAGACCATATGGACTCATGGTTGACTAAAAATAATTTCCCATGAGGCCATTCAGTCTCGCAATAACATTTAAATGAAATCCTTCTATTTAATTGTAAACAATGTCAGTTACAAATTAGATGGCTCTATTTGATGAAAATATGTTCAAGATTTCCTACAAGCAACAAATCACCCGTTTTATGTTCTTAGTATGGTTTCAATATGGTCTTGCTCTTTACAGTTTGTCGTTTGTACTGCACTGTATTTACTGTATTTAATCATAAATATAATTGTACTTGTATTTCAATTGGAAAAGTGGCTCAGGATTTCAACTGATGTCACTACAGTGCCTCTGACTGGTAGGTTCTAGGGTTTGAGATCCGACAGTGGCAGGTTTTTAGACACTAGCTTGTCTGCTGGATCGAGTTCAGCTGCTGTCTGGAGAATTCTAGCTGCCAGTTCCTCTGATTGTTAGGTTTCTGTAGTTTCTCTGATCAACATCACGCAAATGGCAGAGCAGTACCTTATGAATGGGTCATGTACCACAACCTTTCCTTCCTCTTCCTTGTCCTATCTTCACCCCTTACTTAAACACACATGCACTGCACTATCACACTTGTCGGAAGACGTGTTGGGAGCTTACAGCTAGTCCCGGCTAGGGCAGTGCCTCACTGAGGGGAGATACCTGGTTGAGGAAAATTCCTGTAAACCAAAGCAGGTCAGTGCAGGATCATGTGAGCCAGAAAGATCACTGCCATCTCCGGCAATGAAAACATGCACTTGTGGTACTAATGACCTGAGCAGTTGATGCGCCTGTAATATAATCAACCAATAAATCATTTATCTACTTTCCTGCTCTTTTGAAGCATGAGTTTTGCAGCAATACACATAAATTTCACATTTATATCCCAGTATTGTTCCAGTACTCATTTGTGGCTCCTTACAAGCAAGCAATCAAGGTGAAGGTTTATCAATTTAGTAAAAGATATTATTAGTGAAATGCGGTAGGTCCAAGGAAGAAATTATATGATTTAATACCACACTTTTTGCACTTGGTTTGATTGTCAATATGTAGTGTTTCATTCAGTAAGAACCTAATAAAGAAATATTGAAGATATTTAAATCAAATTATTCTCACATTGACTTTTCTTGCAACCAAATAAAACATATTTCAGTTGAAAGTTTTGCGCTTTTGGAATTATTACCTAAATGTGTAAGACTATATGGTCTCACAGATAGCTTTTTGTCATAAGCATGAGACCATACGGTCACAGACAAGGTAAATTAATGAAAAGATTAAGAAAGTCCATATTAATGACTTAGATATTTAAAAACGATTTATTTCTTCAAAGATGATGCTATATTTTTGTTGGTATCAGTGAAATAGTTTGTGAAAACAGGCTTGGCAGTCAATTAGATAAGCATAATTCACAACACATAAGAATGCTGAAAATCAAGAATACTTCTCTACACTATATGATACAACACATAGTTTTTGGTTTTCTATCACTGATGTTGACTAATTAATTTGACTTTTTACTAAAAATTGTAAATAAATTGTTATTCAATAAAGGAAAAAAAGAAGAAAACTCTTGTTTAAGATGTAATAAATATTTTATACACAAAGTGCTCCTTGAAAATGTAAAGCAATGAAATTGAGTTTTATTCCCCATAATCGAACCTGAAATTTTAATTTCTTTTCCCTTTTTCTGAGACAGGGTAAACATTTCATTTTAAAATATCACTGTTAATAGTTACGAAATGAATTTCACTTACACAATTTTAAGAAAATCAGTTTTGTCAGTATTTATTTAAGGCAAATATTGCTAACAGATTCAAAAATTAAAACAATGCCATAAGCAATACACGCTCATGACTAACCATTCCATATTCACAAGTTTCTAATTCCTAATCAAAACAATGCTGAATGTTCTGTTTTAAAGTAAATATCAGATCTTTATGGTATAAATAAAACATAAAAGCACTATAAAAAATAACAGATCCTAGGTAGCACCAAGCTCCAACCAAATTCAAGGGCATGACTCTTATAAAAGCCAGATCCACACAAAAATAAAGCTAATAAAATCTGTAAGAACCAGTCTCCAAAAATTATAAATGCATAGATAAGCTAATATTGTTTATCTAATGAAAGAAAGAATGTCTACTTTCTCTTCATTTTTCATTTCCACATTCATGCTGCCCTATGAGAAATTTAATGGAAATTTTTGAACCCGAGTTCTCAGTCATGGGTTCTATTCTCAACAGCAAAAAGCAGAATAATACACAAGCCTTCAAACAATTTCATAGTCACAGGGACACTATTGGAGAAATCTTGGGCTTCATAGTGGTGGCTGTTTATCACCATCAGTGACAGCTGCACCGGCTGGTGCATGATGCCCACCTCCACCTGCCAAAAGCTGGCGTGTGGAGCTACTGCTGCTGTAGCTATCTCCACTTGATCGGTTAGAGAGATGGCTGGCTCCACTCAGAGGCGTACCAGGCAACGAACCCATCGTTAAACCCTCCCGCCAGCGACCAGGAGTGCTGTCTACTGAAGGCGGAAGGGTTCGTTCCTGAAACCAAAAGAATCAAAAGTCCTTTTAAAAAACTTCATACGTACTTTGATTTAAACATTGAGTCTATCGACATAATTTAGCTATTATGGTATCCTTCAATCGGGAGCTTGGATAATACCTACAGTAGTGACGTTCAAGCTCACGATTGGATGACACCGTAACAGCTGATCAAATATCAACAGACTGTAAATAAATCAAAGTATATGTCTTCTTTGGTGAACAGCAGGGATTAGATAATTGCCATGCAAAAAATGTTTCTAAATTGTTTCATGAGGCTTGATTTATTCAAAAATATTTTAAGAAACAAATATTAAATTTCATACTGTCCATGAATTGTTTTTAAAACCATACTACAGAAATTATTATCATTGAATTTTGATTGGAAAAAGTAACACAGATATATTTCAGATAAATATTTTATTCCAATTGTATTATAATCAAAGTGTTTCACTTAAATTTTAAAAGTGCAGTTTATTTTACAGTCAACTTTTGACACTCTCTTTATCATTAAGAGTGTAGAACCAAACAGTAAAATGCAATTACAAAAAATTGTTAACATGTAGTTTCAAAATACTACAAGTGAAATTTTACAAAGACGTCAACTGGAATAATTAATCATCAATTGTCAATTTCCAAAACAAGTCAAAAACTAGGTTGTGTGTTACACTTAATTTTTTTCTTTGATAGTTCCATCATAAATTTTTTTTTCACGGTATTCTGTATTTAGTTCTGTTGTAACATCGACTGGCTAATCCCCTGTTGTACCTTAAATAAATTTCTGCCATTGTATTTCCCACATTATCCAGGGTACAAGTCAATCTATTGCTGTAATTCAATAATCAACATGACCAGCATTAGTGACTCAGTCCTCAGTCACTGGGCTGATCACTGTAATGGCAAATTAAAAAAGTACACACACAACAAACATTTTAAACACACTAATATTAAATTTAATATTATGAAAAAATACATTCCACAACCTAAAGTAAAAGCCAGAAGCAAGAATAAATTTCCATTTTCTAAAGACTGGTGAGTAAGATGATATGCAAGAAGGGAAAAAATGGAAAACTCTAATTGCCAGAAAATTACTTGGATGGAAGCATTCAACACAACTGTCACTCTATATAGAATTAAAGATACTTAACATGAATGAATCTAAGAAAACTATGATTGTATTTTCAGTGAGTAGAGTTTCACACACAATTTGTGCAACAACATGGCATTTTGGATAAATGTATATAGTACATTCAACAGAAGGTTTAATGAACCAAATCACAAAAATCAATGAAACCCAAATTATGCATGTTTTACTATGTCAATTAAAATTGAAATATTGTAATGCATTACATCATTACTTTATCAATGGCAGCAAAAATGTGTACAGAAAAAAATCTTGAAGTACCCATTACAGTAGTGTTTAGAAATTAATGTGTATGAATTTGTTTGTATTCAAGAAACCCATCCCAAATGCCTTTAGTTGCATTAGAGTACAATGTTTCACTTCAGAAAGAACAACATAACAGCATAGAATAGGTTCTAAATATGATTCTTCTACCCCCATCAGGAAGATGGTTTCATCTCTTTCCATCATGTTTTCAACATTACAGTTTAAGATGAAACAAGCAATTGCATTTTTAATTCTCTTTCTATCTTTCAAGGTTTCCAAGCCTCTATTAATCATATCACCAGTGCCATCAAAATATGTAAGCAGCATAGTGTCGCAATCAAGCAAACAAAACTACTAGGCTTTTATTTAAAAAACAAACAAAAAACAGCTGTGTGATGTGTAAATCTAAAATAACGTACTGAGTGATGGCATGGGAATTACATCAAGAGTAGTGAATATTTGACAATTCCCCAATTTGGATGGGAGAAAATTCTTAAGTGGTGGACACAGTAAAGAAATTAATCTTCAACTTCTAAAGTGGTGGACACAGTAAAGAAATCAATCTTCTACTCACTACTCCATTTGAAAACACCCTGGGAGCACTTTCGAGACAATTTCTATCATTAGTAACCAAAACACAAATGAATAGTTCATTACTTCTACTGAGTGGAATATAAATTTGTTGCTTTCTTGAAACTAAGTTCCTGTTATTCAGCAATTCTTTTTAATACATACAAATATGGCATTAATGTTGGTTGTGGTTGCATTTTGATTAAAAATGAGAGAAACATTTTCTTGAAAGCAACTGCCATTTTTTTATTGACTAGGGGGAAGTGTAGATAGTATAGGAAAGAAAACTTCAGGATTGGTAACTGAAGAAAATGCCCAATGAAATTCCAATTTTTCCTTTGAAATTTCTTTACCCATCATTTAGTGGTTTACACAATACAAAAGATCAACAGCTGTGAGGGGAAATTAAGAGAGCATTTTTAATTGAAGTTGATTTCTCCTTAAAAGTCATGCACCAACAAACACCAAGCTTTGTCTCAATCAAAGGTGCTGAATTTTGCTAATAACTTTGTATTATTTTGATAATCTTTTAATGCAATGCTTTTGTTATATATAGGGAACTGATTTTATGAATCAATATCACTCTTGATTTTCATGTTTTATATTAATAATGATTTGACTTACATGCTAAATTGCTTAACTTTCAAAATACACATGCAAATACATAATTCTTCAAAACTTGCTTTGTGCTGAATATTACTTCACTGACTTCTAGAAATTAAATTCATCATTTGCAATTCTTTTCAACAAAATGAGATAAAAAAACAAAACCAATTAATCCCATTGTTTTCATCATGTGATTACAAAAGTTTCAAGGAATTATTTGCCAACTGAGATAATAATATGTTGCTCAGAACACAAGAAGCAGTGAAGAATAACCAGTTCATTAATGTCTGGCACAGTTTTCTATGCATAAGAACAAAAACAAGTCAAATGTATATAAAAACTTCACTTCGAGACATAAGGTTCACAGTGCATTTCAACAGGATAAACATAATTGCTCTCAAAAATGACAACTGTTTCATTTATTTTCCTTATTTTGTTTCTTAAAACGGGAGTTGAATATTTAATTAGCATTGGAAATCAGTACTAGTAGTAGTAGTAATAAATTTCTCTTTCAGAGGTAATAACTAAGAAGTTTAATTTGATTTCTTATATTACAAAATATGACATAAAACATCATAGTTATACTATAAATGCCTCATAATGATGATAATAATAATAATCCTATTTACCAACAAGTACGAAATCTCGTAGTGTGTCCAACTGCTTGCTACTATCTTCCACTATTTACAAAATGATCTGAGATATCTACACATGTCAGTAATGATTTTTCAATTTTAGAAGAAGGCTATTTCAGAGCCAAAAAAATCCTTTCAACTAATTTTCACACACAAATATTAAAAACTGTAATTTTACTATTGTATAAGGTAAAACTTAGGTTTTCAAATTATAAACAGAAATTATATTTATATCGACAAGCTCACAAACAGTAATTTTCATTATGTTTTCCAACAATGCAATTACTGACACTGAACTTCATAAACTATTTTAATTATGCATCAAGTTTGCACTATGTTCTATATGAAATATAATGAAAGACAAAATCTAAACCAAGAGGCTTCCAACAAGCCATTTTCAACCACTTCAAAAAATCTTTTCAAATAGTAGCTTAATACCACTCCAGAGAAAACTAGATACTGTTATGTTAAGATTTCAATTTAAATTTTTACCTGCTTTCAATATACTGTCTTAAATTTCTTTTTTTTCTTAAGTATGCTAAAACCACAATTCCAAGTGGTTCGCAATTGTTATAAACATTCAACCTTTTAATTACGAAGGGGAAACAGTTTTCCCAGAGGTTTTCAGCCCAGCAGTATGAACAGAGTACTTCTCACCTGACCTCCAGAGGCGAGTGGAATCTCTTATCTCTCGATTATGATGACAAGCTGAGCTGTGGTGTTTCCCATGTAATGGAGCCCTGGCCTACGCAAATGCAAGGGAAATATTGAAAGAAAAGGGTTCTCAGGCGTTATATGAGCGATGGGCCGTTGTGACATTTTGTGCGATTATAATTGGCCATGGCTTCAGAAGCAAAATAAGAGGACATAGAGATGCCACCCCAGCACAGAAGAATAATGGACAAGGAGAAGAAATCTAAAAAGAAGAATAAGAAGAGGCTTCAGACAATTTTGTCAAATCCCATTGAATTCCTTCAGGTTTGAGAAGTAAATTTGTTTGAAAACAAGCATCTTTTTTCTGTGGGAAAACAAGGAAAACATTATATTTTCAGATGTGTTTACAAACTACACTTCATTAATGGGTGGCTCATTTTTGTTTTTGACATACTGAAGTTGTGGTTTTCCCATGTGTATATCTCTCAAACCTATTTTAGCTTATAATATATACATATTGCCTCACTGTGGCCCACTGCCAGTGAGTTGTCACACCTTCCTATGCAAAACTAGCCTTCCTTGGCCGTCATCAATACTCGCTGTGGATAAAAATCTTCTGAGGTCACATTTTCATATATTTAACAAAGTCCGTACTGCCAGAACAGCAGAAGGAAAAAAAACTACATAGCTGAAAGATTAATTACCACAGGAAATCTTTAAGGTATAAAATGCAAGTAATTTCTCATTACTCCTTTTTATTACACATATGCTTAGAAGGCTATCGAATATTTAGACAAGTTTTAAGAGCTAATGTCAATGGTCCAGATTTAAAATCTGGAGCACAACACCTCCAACACACCATAAATTAAAAAATGTAAAATTCCTCCCTTCTCATGCATTATTTTTCAAAGATGTTGTAAAAAACCACACTCTTGTGAGTAACACTTTGGTTTGCCTTGAAATGGTGTGTAAAAAAATAATGTGCAATCTGTTACTAACAAAACCATGGCAGACAGTGTGCCACAAAATGGCAAAGATCTTAGCCTCCTCACCAGTCAACAACTGACATTTGGCAGGACTATGTCAGCACATGGGCCAGATGAGGATGTGTCAGGGGGCTGCTTGGAGAGCAACTGAACCTAGAATAGCATACACATTCTGTATTGTTCAGGGTGCTGCATTCCTGGCACAGCCTATTTCCCAGCAGGATGAAGAGAATGCAACACAATAGATATGTAATAGATCATGGTAAACAGATTTGCTTGAGATGCCAAAGGTCTTTAGTAGTGATTGCCAACCAGGGAGGAATGACATTAGAGCAGGCTTTCTCTAAGAACAGTCTTGGAGAGCAGGACACTCAAAGTGGGAGGTCTATATTTCTAGGTAAAGAAAGTCTGCACAGTGGGCCATTGCTTCTGAAAGATCATCTAAGCTTTATAGTTTCTTTTCCACTTGCAAATAAAAATCTGGGTTGCTAAAAATCTATTGTTAACTTTCTTCAAATGAAAACTATATACATCTTATTAGCGTTTCTGTCGAATATTCCATAAGATTATTATTGGATTGTCTTACGTATTCATGTAAACTAAGTTACATTATTTAATATGTCTTAATTTATTGCATCGATTTCAATAATAATTATAATTTCAAAAACTTAATTTACCACTTTTCCAAACAAACAACTCTCAAAACTTAATCAAGGTAATTGTGATGTACATGTATTGTGCATTTGTTTGGAAGTGCATTCGACTTCCACTGTTGGATCTGGAATTGACTCCTAGCCAATTGACATGAATTTGTTATCACACAATGTCAGATCTCGACACGTTTTCTTAGAGTCCTCTCATTTCCCCTGCCTCTTACTACAGTTTTAAATATCAATGTATTGCAGATGATGGTTTTTGAACGTCAATGTTTTGTGTTCAAAGTTTTTACATTTTTGTTCTTGGTTAAAAAATTATGATAATCACAATTTTGTCGTAGTTAAATATGAAATAATAAGTGATGGTAGCCCTGTTGCTTTATGTGTTGAAAGCACACAAATATTTGTTTGTACTTCCTTCATCAAGCAGACTATTTGTCACTAGACTTGATCCTGATATTCTGTACTTCCTTTGTCTTTCCTCATATTTTGCACACGGAGAGATGTTTTTAACTTTTGTTGTTTGTTATATGTTTAAAAATATTGATAGATTTTGGTCAATGTATCAATGCTTTAATTTTGAACATCAATTGCAGTGGACAATTGTAGGTGTCTATGACAGAATATTGAGGTGGCAATCACTGGTCTACAGGAAATATGGCACAGTCTTCTGTTTTGGAATCATCTATCCACAGTAGGTAAAGTTGGTCAGCAAGACCAATGGTCATAGAATGAATACAGCCAATAGTTTTTAATTCAGCTGTATTCAACATCACTATTTTACTCACTATTGGATGCATCCCAAATACATCCTCTCTTCTCTATTATTAATCAGTCAGTTTGAAATATTACAAAAACTAGGGATGAAGAATTTAATAGCACACACAACTGTCAAAGTCAATCACATGCAGTTAAGTCAAGTTGTGTGTTAAAAGTCAATTGTTGAAGTCAATTAAGCCAGCTTGTTTTTAATGTTCATTCACTAGGTATTACTACAAAGACCAGATTTCAAAGGAATTATACACATTTGAAAAAGAGGGGTAAAGTTGGCATCTCAAACGCATCCACTACTCAGCTGAAAGCAAATCAAACACATTTTTGCCTTTCAAATGTTCAACAACAATTCCAAACATACTGCATTAATCTGCAAAAACAAGGTAAGTACAGTACCCTAGTTTCCTGCAAATAAAGTTTTACAAAAATATTTATTTCTCTCTCACATATAAGTTTTAAATGTTACCATAATAAAAGCAACTACCCTAAAATTTTCTTTAAACATGCAAAAATGAGCAAGAAGTTTAAAACATCTAATTTGTGCAAATACTCATAACATTCAGAAACAAATAATCTATACAAGCAAACTAAAAATAATTTAAGTACTTTACTTGAAAAAACACATCAAAAAACTAAAATATGCTAGTTAATTTGAAATTGACTGATACACTGATTTTAACAAAGAAATAATTTTTAATGTTCAGATTAAAACATGAAAACATTACCCCACGAGTATAAAAAAATTATCAATGTGAAAGTGGGGTAAAATGAATTGTTAATATAATTCTACCAGATTGTATGTCAATAAGGATCATTTGGCACGACACCTTACAATTCAGATATTTCTGTCTACAAAGTGAGGACATGTTCAGTTTCCTTGTATTTTTTCATTGAGGAAAAGCAGTACATAAATGTAAAACACTGTATGTCTGTTTCATTATCTCCTGTCACTTATAGAAATTATCATATACTTATCTACATCAGCATACAAAACGCAACCCAATAAAACCTTTTTTTATTCAACCACAGAATGATGAAATCTAATGCAAAAGTAAGTAATGAGCTAATACATTAAATTACACACAATTACATAATATTAAATTACATAAAAAAATTAAAAAAAAAAAAAAACACATAATTTTCTGTACAGATAATACCTTGTCTGTGTGTAGAGGGCTCAAAATTGTTGTTGCAGGATCTTCAGGAGTGTAGTAATCTGAGTCATCCCCAGTAGCTGCCACAGATGAACCAAGCCCAGGATCATTCTCAAGTCCAGTTGTTGGCTCATTAGGGGTACCTTAAAAGAGTGGAATAGTAGATCAAGTTTTCAATTTTGCAATTTCACATTTAATTTCTAAGAAAATCTTCACAAACATAGAGCCATGTTACCATACTGTTGAGAAATAGATACATGAATTTGAACAATGTTAGTTGCAGCAAGAATTACAATTCCAAATTAAAGAGGTAAGGTACAATTTCTCTTCATGCATGAGAGAAGCTTTACAGTAGTTGTCTTTTAACTAAGATATTTTTGTCATCAAGATAAGAATGAAAATAATTTAAAAATTAGTGTGAAACTGTAAAGTAGTTGAGATGCCCCCGTTATTTACCAAAATAAAGAATGACTTTTGGAATGGTTCAATTGTTGAAAGAATATTCATGAGTCCACTGGGTTTCTGAAACCTCAGAGAATGAGGTCAATTTTATGCTTTGACCACCTAAAGTTTATGTTGCAAATTAATAATATTTTAATCAGTAAATGTAAATCATGGGTTCATAAATCATTTGGAACATAGAACAGTCTCTAACAGATTTAGTACATATTATCTCTTTATGCTTGTAACTCATATGAAAAAGGTTATGGGTAGGAAGAATGCTTTCAGGACCTGAAACATGAATATCATTGGTATGAAGATGTGAGTTTTACCCTTTTTGTATCATTTTCCAATCAATTAATTATTTTTATGCTAATTTGAAACTTACTTAGAATATTACTTAAAATGAAAAATAAAGCAACATAGAAAACAATTAATAGAAACCATGGAAAACAGTAAAATTCATGTACATCATATTAACAGTTGGAAATAATTAGAAAGAAACAATCATCCATCCTCTTAAATGAGTATTATAAAGTCCCAAATACAATAAGGGAAGTATAATGGGAACTAATGGTGAAACAACTTAGCTGAAATACAAATAACAACTATAATGCAATTAACACACTACTAATATTTTAATCATCTCTTCTTGCAATTACTTGAACTATCTTCTGCAAACTGCTTGAAAATGTTATGTAACCTCTGAACATAGTCCTTTGAATGAAAATGGTGTATTTTTCTACACATGAGAGCCCTGGATAAAGCAAAATACAAACAATAGTGACTGGCAAGCCATGTCCCAAAGCCAATCAGCCACTGTATGGTCTAGTGGAACAACAAACCTCAGTCCATTATTCACTGTGGCATAATTTAAAGACCAAGTTTCTATTCAACGCAATTATCTACTAAGTGGCCCAAATTTCTTTGCCAGAGTGTCAGTACACAGTAGTCACTTCAAAAAAGGGTGTAGATTAGGGTATTATTTTGCATTAGTTTATGTGATCTTCCAGATGTGTGGACAATAATGGGTTAAAGGAAGGTTTAAATAGTAGTTATATGCATTAGAAGAACTGATTACTTATGGCTACTTACTGTGTATGACTGAATGACATTCAGTAGAATTAGTTGTCATGGTAACAATGGTCTAAAGTTTTTAAACTTTAAATATTTAAGCTCCCGCATCCATAACATACATTTATCTTAAGACATTCAGGTCATACCTCTTTTCTTGGTATTCTTGACCTACAGGTCCTGAAATTTTCATCACTATTAACTTTATACTGATTCAAAGTTGCGAATGGTTGGGGAGAGTTTTTTGGGGATATGTTAGAAGAAACAAATTTTAGCTTTAAAGCCATACACAGAACTTTTCTTTGTAGGTACCTTATTTAAAAATACAAAAGAATTAAAAATCTGTGATTCTGCTTAGAAAAAATTTTAAGAGGCAGTTTTTATAGTTACAAACCAAGAGAAAGCTCAAAAATGCCTTTCAGCTTGGTTCATAATTACAATTAACATCTTGTATCTTATTCTTCACATTTATATTTCATCTGGTATGCTCCGAAACAATTTGGCAGACCACTAGTGAAACACAGGTAACAATGCACTATGCTTCCCATACCACTCTTGTCTTTTAGCAATTACATTTTGTAAATAGGGTTGTACACAAGTATAATCTATTATGGAGACTGCATGAGAAAAAATGCTGAAACAAAGCAGAAAGATGATGCAAAACTCACACTAGGAAATACATTAAGTAGCTTCTACTTTTGGGTAAACTTGATGCTTGGAATTGTTCAAAGCAGTGACCTGAATGTGTTAAAATTCATAGAAAATTCAGAACACAAAATTTAGAGAGCATTTCATTGAGAAAAATGGTTTATTTATAATATTGATATTGATACTGTAATACTGACATTAACAAACTGAAACTAAATGAGTTCTCCTTAAAGACACTAGTCTCATATGTTAGCCAAAGTGATAAGTACAAAAGCTCCTGGGCTCATAATAAACATTTACCTCAAACTTCACTCTTTATTCAGAACACAAAAATTAGAGAATGCTCCAATTAACACTGATTTAATTATTGGTACTGTAATACCAATTTTCTGTGTTTTATGACTGATAAAAAACAACTCTTCTAGGTTTTGTTCATATTTCAAACTCTGATACTCTGAAGAGAGGCTTTCAGAATATAATGAAAAAGCAATCCTTATTAAATATTTAAATTTTTGAGAATATTTCAATTGAATGTTTTTGAAAATGCATAATTTTTTATTCACTATGCTCAAAACCCTTTGGGATTTTAGAAAACTTCATTAGAGAACATTTGAAACTTTTCTGAATCCATTTAATCATGAAATGCATCTCTAATGTAAATATTACCAAAGTACAAGAGATTTCAAAAAAATTTAACATATATTTTTTTGTGTTCAATTATCATTTTGATGTTCAATATAATTCAACGCAATGTTTAAAACAAAAGTTTAAAGAAAAGAGCTATTTTTGTGAAAATCTTGTTTCTGAATTTTCGGAAAATTGTTGCAATTTGATTCAATATCAAGAAAACTTCCAATATTTTCAAAAACACAACTAATGTTTTGATTTTGTACATTAAATTATTTAAACAGCTAAGACTGAAGAAAAGAATACATTATGGAAAAAATCTCTAGCTTGAGTAATGAAAGGCACAGTTGAATCAACAAAATGCTCGACAACATTCAACAAATTTAGAAAATTCACAGTTTTAAAAAGTGAAAATTACATCTTTTGCATATTTATAAAGTCTTCTTATGTGCTCTGTTCTTTATTCAAACAAAAATTTCAACAACAAATTGTAGATGTTTTTAAGAAAATTTTCAAAAGGAGTTGGGGGGCATCTAATTAAAAAATCACCCTAAAAATTAAAAAAATTAATTTCATATTTAATAGCTTTAAGTTTAGCTGGATAAAGTGGGGATTGTATATTTTGAAGAAAATCCTGTACAAGTCAGGCTTTAATGTTGTTCAAAAGAACACTTCCTCAATATTAGGAATCCCCAACACAAGTTTCCACTAAAATTACACTATTTTATGCAGCATTAATAATATCTCTCAACACTTTATATATGAGAAAGTCAAGAGACAATAAAAGTCTTGTAACTGGATGGGAAATATTGAAGGAAACTGATCATGATAATTTACTTTGGATAAAAAAATATATACTTTTATTAGCAAATTCAACTTCTCTTTCCATACATGAAACATGAACGGCACAATATTAACTTATCTTATAATTCTTATTGGTACAACACAATATCCACAGAAAAAAGAAAACAATAATACAAAACAAAAATAAAATCCAGTTTTCTCTGGTACCACAAGGTACATAAAAGAAGTAGTACCCTAAATTACAATTTTCAGTTACATAAATATGTACTGAATTTACACAAATTCACAGTAGTTGAAGTATTAGAACATAACCATAACTTGTGTATTTTGATAATATATTAATTAATGGTCATCATGCTTATCTTCAGAGGCATCCAAGTGAAACTATATACATTATATTTTTTATAAATTATGAAAAATTAAAATATTGCTTGGAATATAAATAATTAATACTACATAACAGTATATTTATGCTGAGCAAAGTTTACAAATTGTGTTCTGAAGCGTAGTTGGGGGGGAAAGCAGGGAAAGGGCATGAAAGTTTGGTAAGACTATAAAGAAGTCTTACCATGTGAACTTGCGGCAGCATCTTCAGATATAACTTCTACTTTCAGTTCCAATTCTTCATCGTCTTCTTCTTCTTCATCTGCAGCTAGATCACTCACCACAACAGATTCAAGAGGTACTGGATTGGTGTTAGTAGCAGCATCAAGTAAGGGTGACAGCTTTTCAGCTTCACTGTCTTCATCTGGAGTCTAGGGAAAGAAAAAAAATAAAATAGAATTGTTAGGTTAAGTATCACAAAATGAGACTATTACAAAATTCCTTGAATTCCAGCTTTTTGCTCCAAAAGGACACTTTTTGGTAAATATTTAACTACTTATGAAAGAAAACGCAAATATTCTGACTACTGCAATTTCACAGTTCATTAATAATTTTTCCCCTCCTAAAAAAATTCACAAGTGAATATTTTTGTGTTTCATTGCATAAAAACAAGGGTATACAATAAGTAAGGCTTGAAATCGAAAATACACCAGGAACAGAAGAAGTAGTGCAAACGAAAACCATTTGAATTAGATGATCTAGGCAAATCAGAACGATGTTCATTGCTGATTTAGAGATCAACACTGCTTGTGCTAAAACATTAGGAAATACGCAAACATTGGAAGTGTTTTGAAATTTGGGGAAGGAAGATGAACACCAAGAACTTCACACAAAAAAGTGAGAATGATATTGACAAAAAAGAGACCATTATCATAATAATAATAATAATAATACTAATGTTATTGTTTTATTATTATTATTATTATTATTATTATTATTATTATAATCATCATTATTAATTTCCAAAGCAAATAAATTTTCACAAATATTCTTCTTGAAGATATTGAACTTGAAGTTCTATAACATAATGACAACGGATTCAAGGGATGCCACGAAAAATGCAAAATAACAATGCCGACACTACCTCCATAAAATAATTAATTTCTAGGTTTTGGAATTATTACATTTATCATAAAAGAAAGAGAGAAAAAAACTAAAAATTTATAACTGTAGTGCCTGTGAATCTATATTATCACCTCAAAAGCCTCAATTTTCAATTATATGCACTGCAGGCTGCTAGGAGAGTTTCTTCAAAGAATTTTTCATTCCAGAACACATTTTATCTTTAATAAATTTTACATCATTTATCCTATTTTATATCACACTTTATTTACATTTGAACATTCCTCACACCTGTGTGTCTGAAATACCCTTTCAAAAAAGTCTCATTCAAAAGAAGTGTCAATTCACTGATACGTTAGTAAGCAGAAGTTGTTATTTTATATTCAATCTATACATTCAAGACCAACTTAGATTAACTCTACAAACAATAGGCAATATGTTATTTTAATTCAGATTACCGATCATCGTAATGTTTTCTCAGAACTTACCAACTTGAATTTAATGGCAAGTTTAATTTATCTTCTTCTTTAGACTAAATATTTCTTTTGAATATTAATCTTCATTTTTTATGACTGCAGCACTTCCAATTTGATGCAGTGACATTTGTAACAACACATGCAACAGTCTTATTTTCATTTAGGATATAATGATTATTTTTATACTTATTATCATTATTAATGTTTCACATAATTATTGTTTTCATATTCTCTTTATTATTGGATAAGTTTTGTAATCATTTCACTAAATGTTGATATGGGCAAATTGAGCTATGTCATGACTGCAGATATTACTAGATTTTTCTGCTTCAGATGTACTGTAAATAAGTACACAAAATATTTGCAGTCCCCTTATATTTATACACTAAAAAACAACTGTAGTCTAGTTAGCCTGTCCATTAAAAAAGCATTCCATACCTTACAAATATCACAACTGAACTATTTATATTTCATTGGCTGCTGCCTGTAGGAATATGAAACAGAAATTTGAATTATTCATAAAAAATATAATTTTGAGTGTTCTCGAAATATTATCCTTTTACTGAAGACCTTTGTAAGGCATTGAAATCTTTCTATCAACCTGGATAAGATATTGTATGATGATTATGGAAGGTTTTGATGCATTTTAAATTAAAAAATAAATGGAATGCAACTATTCAGTTTTGGCAAAGTACTGTTTCCACTTCCTTTTAACAAAACATTTCACATTTCGAACATTGTTTTTTGGAGGTTTGAATCTACTGGCAACAGAGTGTAGCATTAGTGCTAATGAAAATATTTGCAAAATAAGTAACAAAAATAGTTTTCATCATATAACAAAAGTCAGGACAACACTAGTAAAGGAAATGGCGTTCATTACAATATCCAACTTCACTTTCCCAAAGTTAACAATATAGTCTCAACAAATCAGAGGAAATTTCTTTCTCCCTGAAAACTGTCTCACATTAAAAGTGTTTTACAATACATGCGATTTAATACTTTTGCTCGAATACAGATAACAAAGTTACCTTCTGAACAAATGCAGGAGGAATATAATGTAGTATAAAAGATACTGAAATTTTGAAAAACATAAATAATTTTTTGAACCAAATATTCATTTTATCAATAATTTAACTACTTTGAATAAAATAAATTAATTTTAAAAAACTATCGTCCATCTCAAGTTCTGGAACATTACAGCTATGTAAACACACACAAAATATTATAAATATTAAAATTATATTATATATATGAGTAATTGAGAAACACTGTAAATTTTTCTATTAGTTTGACTCTAAAAATGGTATTGCAGTACAGTAATGCCTAGCAGCAATTATCTCAAATTAAGAAAACATTATTCACCTCTCAATATGAACCAAATTCTCAATTTACAGTTCTCCATTTTTGATACATAATTGGATAAATGAATCAATGAAACTGAATCTAATATACTTAAATTGTGCAATAGAAAAACAATCATAGCAAATGGCACTTCCAATATACACACAATATTTCAAGATTTGCAATTGCAAAGGCCCTCATTCACAGTTCACTGCCAGCCAAGTATTTAAATATACCAAAACAAGATGTGTTTTAGTGATTTGTTTACCTCATCTTCATGAGTAGAGGTTTCATTGACAAGACGGAGTGTGTCTCGAGGCCGCAGGACTGCACTCTTATCACGCGAGCCGGGACGGGACACATGTCTCACTAATAAGGGAGATTTAGTTTGCTCCTTGTGATTTTCTTCCTCACGCGCCAACAGCACAGACATTCGAAACTGTTGAAACATGCAGGTATGTTATTCATGCAATGAAAGAAGTCATACAGTACTGCAAGCTGGAAAACTCAAACATGACAGTAGTTATAAAACACTGTGCAAGAGGTTACAAGTGCTCTATTCACACTGGTATCTATATACACTACAAGAACACTCTCTGCAATTTTACATGCTTCAAATAAACAAAGAACTAACATTCAGAATAAGATGTCATACAAATCATTTAAGGTACTCATCTATCAGAGTTTTAAAATTTGTATCTGAGGCATATATCTGAATTTTAATCATGATTACTAGTTGAATTAGGTACACTTTACTGCTGGAATCTAAATTTGATGTTTCACAAGGTACTTGTATGTACTTTACAGGGATTTGAATTAGAACTTTTAAAAATCACTGTTAAAAATAATAATTAACAGAGTAACTTATTATTGCTAACTTGTATTTTCTATAACAATTTCACATTGAGGCCCAAGAATTGTCTTTCTTTAATTATATTTAAAATAATATAATAAAGATATCTTTAAAATTAGACAAGTTATGAAGTTTTGAGTCAGGCTAATCAAGAGAAAAAGAAACTCAGGGAAAAGCCACGTTTAAACTCATTAGCTCTAAAGAGGTCTGTGAACACTAGTCCTCTAACTCTACAATTTGTTCAAAAGGATATTCGGCTTTTGATGTGACAGTATAAGGACTTTATATTAGTTTAAATTGCATTTTTATAATTTCTCATGAAATAATCTTAATTTTTCTTTAATTTTTTGCGATCATAGCTACATGAATTACAAACAACTGTAGAACGTGGCATATGTGCACGCATTTGGAAAAGTACAAAACATATAAAAAAAATAAACTTAAAAACAAACGGTTTTGAGCATTGAAAAGTACACATCTCAATGCACAACAAACAATGTAAATAAATATTTCTATTTTTTTTACATAAAACGTTATTCTGAAGTAGACAAGTACCTTACAGAGTTTTCTGCCTTCCTGAAATTAATATGATTTCTCTTTTAAACAGAAATGTGGGGAAATAAAATGTTCTAAATTTACATTATGTAAATGTGTAATATCCAATGACCCACAAAATACAAAGCATTCATTCTAATATCATTCAATTGGTTCTGTTTTGATGAGAAGGTAACGCAATTTGATTATTGGAACTAATAATTCAAATTTTTTCATTCATGTTTTTTGGAATTTCAACTTACTTATTTCCAATTTTGCACATAGTGTTTGCCAGATATGTGGAAAATAAATCAATAAAGTGAGTTGTTTTGACAGTATTTAGAAAAAGTTATTGATAACAGCACTTTCCTCTGTAATTTCATATTAGAGTTTTGTTCACATATTCTTCTAAATAGTTACTGTGTTCTTTCTATATTAGTCCAACTGCATCAATAATCAGATGGAATACTTACATTTTTAAGGAACAAACAAAATATATACTAAAGAAGATCTTTAATAATAATAATAATAATAATAATAATAATAAATTTATTCAAACTGCAAGTGGGTATAACCTGGTGGTAGCATCTTGGAAACACAATAAAATTATACTGTAGAACCCCATTATAAAAAAATTCCACTTATAAGATACAACTTAGCTGTCTAAGATGAAGAGCATTTTCATCCCGCATGTTGAAGTTTCCAACCTGTAATAGAATATTGGTTCCAGACCCCCCCCCTCCAGTAAGAGTCAAAAGTTGAAACATCAAATTTTACAGTCAAACACTCTTCTCAAATATTGCATAAGAACAGATTTGTATCTGAAGAAATACCCTTCCATAAATAACTCTTCATCTGTGAAAGGTGAAAACCTGCTCCCATTTTCTGTTGATTGTACAGAAGACACTAAGGCATGTGGTCTCGGCCAAGAAGTCATTCATACCAATGTCCTGATTATATTCACGCTCTCAGAAACAGGGCAAGCTACCCAATACTTGACAAATTACATGACACATCATCTTAAATGTATTTTTTTTTCACAAATGTGGTGAAATTGGCTTTCATTGTCTGGCAAATAATCTATTTGCTTGGAATGCAGTGTCACAATATAGAAATTTTTTATAATTTCAATTGTGATGACTCCAAAAAGGAAGTTGGTGTTAACGCCAGAAAACCTTATTAAAAAATGACAAGCCAAGAATGGTAAAGATGTACTTTAGGTGAAGATGTACTGTACATAAATTAGCATTCTCTTATCAGATTTCTGACCCATAAAAGGCTAAAATTGTCTCTCTAATAATAGGGTTCTGTTGTATTCTGTTCAATTGTATTGTATTCTGTTCAATTTTTAGAAGATTTTGTTTCAATTTTCTAAATTAATTTCAATATTGGATTTTTATTTGTGTAATGAATATTTTCCCATATTTGTATGGGAAAACAACAACTTAGTATCCTCCTTAGAACCTTTTATAAACATGGCATTTTTGAGAAAAGAGTTTTCTTTGAATGTTAGTTTCTTGTTTTCTAAGAAGAAAAAGTCAATGAAAACAAGGATAAAGAAAAGTAAAAATTAATAAGTGAACGAATCCAGAAAGCAGAAGAATCAGAATGTTACATGGTATTTTTTACTCCACAAATTAATCTTCACAAAATGATCTATGAAGAAATGCTCTATTAACTTAAAAACATACCTCTAAATACACAAAAGTAAGGTACACATTACCAATTTACACTACATGAAAACAGGACAAAGAGAATATTTCAAGTATGTAAGTTCAGCAGAACTCCTTTGATCAACCTCCCATCTACACAACTACTTCTTTTGGTGCCTAATTCTAACCTCCATAAGTCCATTGTATTTCAATTCCCATTAAGGTTCTGCCCCTACCCAGGTAACTCTACAGAAGGTCCTTTCAAATCTAAGCTATCTAAAATTAACATTGAACTAAAACAATTGTCTGGCAAATTTCCAAAGTTTTAGAAATTAACTTAACATTACTAAAAGAGACACTTTTCTGGCAAGCAATTGTGTTGTAGCAGTGTTGTGCAAATATAACAATTAGGGACAGGCCGCCTATGGTGACCCTAGTGCAACTCGCCTTTCACTAGACTTGAGCCAATTGTGCCTAAGCATCTCCTCCTGAATAGTCTTGACACAGAATGTCTTTTTCAGTTTCATAGTGGCTTTCAATTTATAAAATTTCCTTTATTTACTGAGAAGGTTCCTCACTATTTTGAGTTAATTTTAAGCAGTGTTAAGTTGTCGCTTCCAGCACAACCATTTTCCCAAGAATTGATGGTGATCATTTGATAAGTGTTCCACTACATTCTTCCAGCAGAAAATCATGTTGCAAATGCTAATGCAGAAGTTTGCTGTAATTATTTTACATTTTTCATGGAACTGAATGACAGATTTCACTCAATGGTCTCAAAATCTATTAGAAAGGAAATGTCACTGAATTATTTAGAACAGTACGCATAAAGAACACATCTAAATAACCACTGAAGCAGGATGATTCATGACACTGTTCATTAGAAAACATTTCTACATAAAAATTCAATAAACAAAATAAAATAAAGAAAAAAGAAAAGAGAAAAAAGGAAAGAAAGAAGGAAGGACGGAAGGAAAAAAGGAAGGAAGGAAGGAAGGAAGGAAAGAAGGAAAGAAGGAAGGAAGGAAGGAAAGAAAGAAGGAAAGAATAGAAAAAGCATGAGTTTTGTTGTCCAAAAATAGAGCAAAAAATGGAAATTACCAGTTTTTAAGAAGAACAGTTATTTAATATAAAGAATTCATGTATTGAGATTAATATAATCTCAATATAATCAATCAAATACCAGAAGTGTTCAAAACTTACAATTATATTAAAAACAAATATTATAACTAATTGTTCATATACAAGGTGCCTCTCAGTTGACAAGTTTCAAAATACCAATTATAATAACAAAATTGTTACCTCACAGCATGAAAAGTTGTACTGTTGTGTGTGTACATAAATTACAATTAAATAATTTGCTAATACTACTATTGTACATACCATTCAATTTCTGAAATCAGAATTAATAAAACACAAGTAACCAAAGAAGTCTCATAAATAAAAACTCTAAGGGGCCATTTTTCACATTGTCAAAGTCATGAACTTTACAATCGTTAAAATCTAACCCAAAATCACAAAGCAGTTAATTCAAAAAGCAGCAATCTCCAAATTTCAAATACTAATTACATGATCCTAACATAGTTTACTGGATAACTTAAAAAGGAAATGTGAATGTTTTCATCTAATAATTGATGACACGAGTATTAAATTGTCAAACAAAATGATGACTGACAATTTCTTCTACGGTGACTGTAATAATTCAGCATTTACAGGTCATCAGGCATATATTACTCCTTTAAATACCTCAGCCAGTGAGTGTGCTTATTTAATGAAGGCACTTCCCATACCTTTCTTTCAACTCCTATTTAGTCTCCAAGCACACAAGTTTACCTTGTCCTGATTTTCTGAATGGAATAAACACTAAACACTCCAATAAATTTCCCCACTACAGTTTGAAGCTGTGCCGTCTTTTCTTCTCAATGTTTCTATTTAAATTTTCAAGAATACTTACAAGATTATGACTTAAAAATATAATTAACAATTTAAGTAATAATTGAATGTTGGTAAGAAAGCGAGAATAATGAGACCTGGCAGAACAATGTGAGAGTAGTATGAAAATAATCTAAAGAAAATTCAGTTCCTGAGAGACCTGAAGACAAGACAGGCAAGGACAGGAAAAAATGAAAGCAGAAAAATACAGTACAAAACTTGCCGTTTTACATCCAAAAACTACTAAAATCTAAATAAAACAACAAAATGAGTTTGGTGTAAATGAGCATTATTCTATGTTTTACATTCAAGAAGATAAGTTATTTTACAAGACTCGCTTCCTATCTCGTCCTTGCACATATACAAGTTATATACATTTTATAAATCTTAAAATTTATGTCACTTCTTTTGAGTATTAAAATAATTTATTGAGAAAGGAAACTGTGCTGCTACTAAATTATGTTTCAAAACACTATTTAATAAGAGTATCAAATATTACGGTATTGAGATTTTGGCTCTCTATTTAATTTTCATTTCAACAAAATCCATGATTAATTAAGAAGTGCAAGTACATTTTATGTCCAAAGAAGAAACCTATTTTCCTCATCCACACTGCAAGTTACTAGAGAGGTTTGTAATGTAGGCTGCTTCATAAATAATTCAAAGCACCTGCACATCACTTTTTCACAGTGATATACAATCCATATACAAATAAAATGAAGAATTTTGAATGGAATTGAAATGACCTCCTTACTTTTCAAACAAATATAGGCATTTAAACATGTTTAAATCAATAATTGTCTGAAACTTTACACACATTGGCCTATAAGATTTCACTGATCCTATTCCCTAGCAAACTAATGTAAGTAATAAGACTTTGTTCAAAGTTAAAACAGATTTCGGTTAGAGTAGGGTACATAGTACACCCTTAGAGAAGTGTGGTGGCAAGGAGGGATGGGGAGGGGAGGAGGAAGGGTGGAGGAGGAGTGGAGGGAGACGAAAGGTCGGAGGAGTTCTCCTTAAACCCTCCCCCAAATTACGCTAAGCACAGACATGAAAGAAACGAATGAAACTTCAGATAGGCGATTTTAATGGAGGTTCAACTGATAGTGTTATAACCCAAAGATAGGTCATTACTAATACCTGAATTATACTGAACTTACTTCCCACAAGCCATGACCCCTTTCGCACAGAACACTTATACACATGAGAAGTGGCCCCTTGCTTGCTACACTTCCACCCAAAATGATCATACAACTTCTTTCGCTTGGCCAAGCTCACAGGACTCTTACACACAACACACACAAATCCTACAGCAATCAAACCACATTCAATGACAGCCAAACACCCTCTTTGGTGCAAAGCTTTAAAAAAGCCATATTTATTCTCGCCATTGTCGCACAGGCACTCGACATTCAAAAACAAAATCACAAAGAATCTGAAGAGCGCAAGAAACTTAACTGTATGACAGCAACGTAGCTAACCACTTCGACAGCTACCCGACAAAAACACAATTTACGTGCCACCACACACCCGTTTTATAATGAAGTTTCGACAAGATATTAAGATGAAATTGTCCCCCTAACTTTTGATGTCGTATTAGTGACCAATTACAAACCATTAAAATTATTTCAGGAGTGAATTTTTTTACAATTTATTTAAACCGCCCACTCTTTGCTTTTTAAATGTATGTACTAAGTTATGCATATTGCTCACCACCTCTCCCCACCAAAAGATTTCCCTCATAACACTCTTTCTCCCCTACACCATGGATTTCCCCTTTGCCGGAGAAGCGCGAACTGCCGATTTAAACGACTTCCTTAAGTTGTACCGTATACTAGCCCAAATTTCTTTCAAACTGGATGATCAGGTGAAAGGACATTTATCCCAAAGTAAAAAAGCAAAGATTACAATACATTTTTGAGTACAAACAATTTAAAAGTGCACTGACCTCCATCCCACTTGCCTAAACAGATTCATCTTGTACTAAATTACTCAAAATATATGTATGTATGTAATTGAAATAGCAATTTAGAATTAAATAAGAATATCATTGTTTAAATGAAGAGTGTGAAGTGAAGTGAAGAACTCAAACCATAAAAATACATGTTACTTAACAACACCGCAAACATTTTCACAATACCTACTTACCTCAGGAGTGTGGCAGGCGGCTCCGTTACCCCGTGGGCTCTTAGAATCTGACTCTTCAGGACTACCCGGAGTTTTTGTAGCACCTGATCCACTTCTTTCAACATTTGCCCTATTAAGAACTTCAGCTGCTTGAACAGCAGCCACCTCTTGATCAGGTGTCTCCGCCACATCCAATGGAGGGGCTGTCGGAGCAGCCCTCAGAGGACAAGGACCATTCAGAGCTTCTATGAGCGACACTGGCTCATATCCTGCAGGGATATTTTCACAACTTCCCTAGAAATTTGTAAAAAATATATATTTTTTTTTAAATAAAAAGGAATTTTTTTATAGCGCTGTTATTTATTACTAGGACTTGCACTGAACAACAAAAATCAAACAGAGGGCCATGACCTTAAAAAAAAAATCCACAACCCTCTGAAGAAAAAAAAAACTATTTCCGGTAGAACTTAAGAACATGGTGCAACTTCAAGTTATTTAAAGCAGCAGTTTGCACTGCTCAAGTGTGGGAATGCACGGTGGGGACTATCTAAATAAATTATAAAAATTAAATAAATTAACAAAATTAAATAAAATTAATTAAATTTAATGCTTGATAATTGGTCACATTATGTTGTTTCACTTTCAAGAACCTTGCCAAAGTACATTATTTTTCTGCATATGGAAGCAAAAGTTGTATGGTTATAATTTCAAATTTTGACAAGGTAGCTTTATTTCTTACCAAGTTACATTTGTTGCACTCTTCTGATTCTTTGTAATTGGTGTTTTTTGAGAATTGAGTGTTTGTGATACAATAGTGAAACTAAATGTGGTGGTGTGTGTGTTTTTAAAGCGTAGGACCAAAAAATGTTTGGGAACCTTGGAACAGGGTTTACATGTTTTGAGAGGTGGGTCAAGTGGAAGTTGTGTGATTGGTTTGAGTGAAAAAGTAATAAGAAAGGGGCCACTCAAACACATAAGTGTTTTCTGCAAAAAGACTCATGGTTTGGGAGAGTACAAAGAAGTATGAGAGGTTCTAGACTTTCTTTGGGGGCACCTCCAACACATACAACACAAAAAAAATTCACATTTGGGAAAGTTGTCTTAATTTATTTCAGAGCACTCTTCATAATTTTAGATGGAAAGCTTAAGGACCCTACCCGTCCTTTCCCAAAGATTTTCTGCAGTTTCTACTTTAACCCTACCTTCACCCATCATGTATTTTCTTTCTTTAAAAGATACAGCAACCATAAAACAAACAATTCTAAAATGTTAAAATTCATTTAAAAATGTGAATTATATCTCTGGAAATAGAATTCTAAATCACATTACGTTTATGCAATAAGTAATTACAGAACAAAAAAAGCAAGAATCTGTTTTGGTATTTGCGTACATTATGCAACCTACCTCAGGTGGTGGTAAAGAAACTTGTGGAAGTGCTAATGTTTTCTGCAGGGCTCTAATCTGTAGCAAGGCTCGAAATGGTGCTCGACAAATCGGGCAATTGTTGGCCTAAAATATTTTAACATATATTCAAAATAAAAGAATGAAGATAGTATTAATCAATTATCATTTCATACTTTATTTACCTGATAGCGCAATGAATCTGCACAAGAATTGCACAGACAAAGATGTCTACAAGGCAATATCAAAGTGTCTCTAACATCACACATACAAATAACACATTCAGATCCATTATCTTCAGTCTCTTCATCATTAGCAGCTTTGGAATTATCATTATTCTTGTTTTCAATACCATAAATTTCCTGTAGTAAGTAGCATAGACCATCAACAAAAAGTTTCTGCTTCAAAGCTCGGAGAGCATATGTACCATCACCATGGTGGTCCACCACCGCAATAGTTGTATGTGACTGGCGTGGTTCTTCAATCCCTTCTTCAGCTACACAATGAATTGCCACTGGAATGATATCTCGATCAGGGTTGTAAGCTAGTTCATCATCCGAATACCGACTAGGATCAAACACATGAGTCACTTGAGAAAACTGTTGGTTGGCACCACGCTTATAATGAAATGTTTCAGAGTTCATGGTTGGATCCCGAGGTGTGTACCTAAGATGTTTAAATACAACTCTTTTCAATAATTTTGCACGAAGACATACTATACAATTTCTTCAAGAGAAATGAAAAATATTTCTTACGTGACACCGCTTGGAGAAAAATCTTCTGTACAAAAGTAGTATATAGTAATTGCACATCGTGCATCGCAATCAAAAGTAAACTCAATATTGAATTGAGTACTTTTGGTCTCTTCAATATCTCCATCTTCAGTTTTACTCAGACTTTCAGGTGATCTAACAAACCTCAAAGACTCTTTTCGAATATTTACAAGGCTTTTCAGGGTCTTTGTTGGTTCGTTGGCTTGTGGAGGAGGATATGGAAACTGAAAGTAAAAAATAATAATTGTTTTGAAAATTAAGCATATAAACGAAGAGGATAATCACTACATTGAAAAAAACTTACAGGAGTTGGTCGGCTACCTAAGAAATTTAAATCAGCGTTTTCTCCAAATAAATATGCTTCTGGCTGAGGAGTGTCAAAGCGTTCTCCTCCCATAATGAAATGGCTTCCAAAATAATTCCCTGTAAGAGTATCACAAATATTAAGACCTATGTTCATTATAAATTAAATCTCGTTTGTTATTGCTATTACCACTACTAACACTGTTTCTACTGTCATACTGTAATTTAATAAATGTACAAAACGAAAATGGGACAGTACAAAATGGGGAAAATGACAAGGCATTAATTCATAAATAAAATCGTCTCCTCTTGAATGGAGCATCTTTACGACCTGGAAGTCGAACTGACCTGATCTGGGAGGGTATTTGTATGCATGATTGGATACAATATCAACCTCTTCAACTCCTGCATGTTGCCTACTTGTTAAGGCGCCCATGATTGAGTCAAGGTTAAATCTTCACAGATTTGTCCTTATCGTCTGACTGACCTATTAAGGTTGACGTCGGCCAAATCATACATACGAGCTGGCAATACAGCCAGTATTATTAAAGACATGTAAACATTTTGAATGGGAGAGCTACTCTATACAGTATACAGTGAACATAACTAACACTGATTCAACACTAGACCACATTTGACAAATCAGTGACCACTGGTGACCAGTGTCAAATTCTGGCAAGGCTAAAACATCCTTGAATATGTATTGTCTGAAACTGTTACCTATAAATACTCTTTGGTGCCACCAGCGTTCGATAATTGCTTTCGGTGTGAATTAGCCTATAGATCCTAGACATGTCATCTATAGTCTGTAGATTGCTTCCCGGGAACAATCACTGAACGATACCACGCATCAACGATTGGTGGACACGAAAATGAGGGGGCACATTCAAACTTAAAAATGTAATGTACAAAAATATATTCACATTATAACCAATGAAATTACATTTATTAGGTTTTATTAACTTTTTCCTCTTTAAAAAAATTATTCTCGGAACTTTTACAATCCCATGTACATTATCCAAGAACCTGCAACACAACTTAAGGGACATACGCATTGTATACAAATGAACCGTCCGTTGTTGTCATGGTAACTAGGTGCGTGTCAAGTGAAAAGCCTTATTGATATTTTCATCTTCCGTTTACGTCTCATAATTCTCGTACTTCAACATTAGAAAGCAACTGCAGATAGTTTCGAGATGAATGCTGCAGATATTAACAATGTGGTTGCTAACGGAAGACACTGTGTTGGCATACCTCATACACCGTATGCCTCGAATCCTGTACCCGCAGTTCTTTCCAGAGCAAAAAAAGGTATTTTGGATCAAACATCTAAAAGAAAATAAATGGTCTTAGAGTCAATTTAGGAACCCTTATTTTACCACGTTTTGTATTGTCTTAAATACCGAAAGTGAAATAAATGATATATACGAATAATCCTCACACATTCAATCTCGCTGCAAATCAGTTCTGACCGCAATATAGGGAGTCGTATTCCCGAACGAGGAAATTTGTCTCACAGAAGAGCACAAAATTATAGTGCAAAATTGCAATGAATAGGAATATAAAAATAAAAAATAAAATAAAGTGCCAATTAGAAATTAACAATTTTTTTTTTAATGAGGAAATTTGTCTCACAGAAGAGCCCAAAATTATGGTGCAAAATTGCAATGAATAGGAGTATAAAAATCAAAAATAAAATAAAGTGCCAATTAGAAATTAACAATTTTGTTTTAAAAAATGAAATAATTATAATAAATATCTCAGGTAAAATATATTATAAAATAGTAGAAAAGTTTAATTTCAACATAATAGGGACTAAGATTCATAGAAGCTTAAATTAAATTTAGCAGTGTTTACAGGTTGTATTTTCTATAGGATTGCTTTTTTGTCTAATAATAAAAAAATTTTTTAAAAACTCTCAAAACTCTAGTATGTGGTCTGTATGAAATTTAAATGAGACTTTTCCATAAACTGTTATCAGTCTGGGATGTTGACTAATTAATCAAGCATTTCATTTTGTCAAAATAATTGAGAATTTCAGTTTTTATTTTTTACCCTCTGGCTTCCCTACAACACAGTAAAACTTCAAATTGTGAAGTATTTTCATGTTTGCGATGTGTTGCATTCAATAGTACAGATTTGATATTCCAGTGCCAGAATGTCCTGTGCTTGGAAACCGCAATTGGCTTATTCATTTGCATTATGCTCGAAAAGAGTTAGGCGTTTGCAAAATTCTTATCCAAGAAGACCTAGAAAAAAGTAAAGGGATGAGTGAATACGCAAATTATGTGATGGTAGGTTGAAAGTGTCTCCTATTACTTCAAAAGCTTGAAGCACAAACATATCACCTATTTCATTTGTTGTAGGGGCTTATATTACGTCATGAAGGTAAAATTCAAGAATCTCTTGAATATTTCCAAACATGTCACTCTCTCAATCCTAAAAGTGTTGACAATATGAAGCAAGTTGCCCGTTCCCTGTAAGTATCATGAAAATAAAAACCTATACACAAAATTGGCATTCTCCAAATCAACTTCATGTATTGCATAGAAATAATGTGATGAATTTTAACCAAGGCCCACCATTTACATAAATTTGGTGTTACAAAAATCTAAGTTCTCTTTCAATAAATCCCTACAAATTTCACAGATTGTACATGACTAATGTAATTTATAATTACCACAATTATCCTCTTTTGTATATTGAAATTTATTCTGACACGCATTGTATGTTCCGAAAGTATTTTGGTTTTGGAGGAAATGACAAATATTTGAAAAGTAGAAAAAAGAAAATTCACCGTTTTCTGGCACATGATTACATAACTCTCTTCATATAAAGAGATATTGTTGTGTTAGTTTGCCTGATACTTCATATAAATGATATTAACAATGCATAACATCCACTGTATGTACAAAATCAAATTTGAATTTCATTATTTTGTGATGATAGTTGGGAAAATACTATGAGACAAATAACAACTAAGTGTTTCAGCTTTCTTCTTGGAAGACATCGATTAGCTATGGAAGCTTACCTAGAAGCAGAAAGGGTACCTCAAAAGCCTGACTGGGAAATATATCACAATTTAGGTAATAAAGATATAGAACAACTTCCTAATGTGTTTTCGATAAGATGTTTGTTGATCTGGAAATAAACAATCTCTTTCCTAAGGCCAGATCTTTTAAAAGTTTTGTGCTGAAAAAGAGTTATTGAACAGAGTAAGAGTTAGTGGTTTAATATTTACATGGCAAGTGATGCTTTAACTCCTACACTGCATAGAGATTTCTTCCCAAACACTTGGCATACAGGTTGCGCACATAGCATAATGAAATGAGTTCGCACGTGACTGCAAAACTTTTATCCAGGTTCTCTTTATAAAAGTGTATAGCAATCACAAATAATAAAAATATCCCCTAAAAACAGACCCTCTTTTACCTGGACCCACCCAAACGTTATGCCACTCGGTTGAACGATATTGCTACGAAACGAAAAAAAACGAAATACATCTTTTTGGGAGCAATTTTTGAAAATTCAGTCTAGAAAAACTCAAAATGTTGTTGTTGGTGTTTTTTTTGTGTAAAACAAGGGTACATAATCATCATAATAGTGGAAAATTTGGTTACAAGACTCCAAACTCTACTTTACAATTGTTCAATCTCTGTTTATGCTGATATTTCAGCTATCCCATTGAACATTTAGCATCAAACTAATACTCCAATAATGTGTTTGACATTTTATATACTTCTTTAAATTACTTATATTATTAAAAAACCTTCAGTCTCTTTGTGATGTGTTTTATCATGAGACCTTAACAACCTGTAATTTGCACAATAACTACTTTTTAATTTTTGTAATACCCTAAGTTATGTGTGAATACTATTTCTTAGAAAAATGTTATTAGTTGAGTTTATTTTTTTTTTGTTTTACAGCACTCTGTAGCTTCAGGAATAAAATTACCACCAATATATAGATATAAATAAAAATATAATAAAATTCTCACTTATGACCATATTTCCAACAGGAATGTGTTTAATGCATCTCAATGAACTTGAAAAGGCTAAAGGTTACATTTCGAAGGCTATTCAGTTAAGCAGTCAAGAATGTTCCTATATAGCTCTGGCTAAAATATGTCTTCTACACAATGATATTCAAGGAGCATTGCATGTTTACACCATAGCATCAGAGTAAGTGTCTTTTGCACATTGTCTAATACCAATATTTGATAAAATAGCATATCTTGATCTTAGCATACATATTATTTGTATTACTATTATGTTCTTTTCAAGGCAGTATCCTGATAGTGCAGAAATAGCAACTTGCTTAGGATTATTATACATCAGGGCAAACCTATTCCAGCAAGCATTTGAAAAGCTAGGTTCTGCTTTAGCTCATGATCCAACTTTCACAAAAGCTTTACTAGCAGCTGGCTCTATGATGCAGGTATAACTAACTAGTCACAATATAGAATATATGCCTTAGTATGTCCTTGACCATTTTCAATTTTCTCTGAAGAGGCTCGAGTTATTACTGAAGGAAAAGATAACTTACTATTATAATAGAATTTCTATTTAAAAAGCATCAGCACAATGAGAATAAAGCAATATTCTAATATGTGCTTACTGACTTGTTTTTTGTTTTCACTGACAGATTGTGACTTATTTTTTCAACAAACTTCCAACATTTTCAATATTTAATTGTTTGAAAGAACCTCTATTTTGCAAACAACCACTGAATGTGTTTTTAAATTGTGATATTTTGGAATCCTAGCTAAAAAGTTCATTTTATTGGAATTGTTTACAGGTTTTAATTAGATATTTTTCTAAATTAATAATTTCAGAAAATAATTGTATATTATTTTGAAATTGAATACATCATAATTGAATTTTTATTTTAGCACTTTTTGGGACTCTGAACTTACAATCATTGCATGCCTATTCCAGTGCATTAGTCACACCCGAAGTGTGAAGTAAATTTCTCTTTTCCACACCTTCTAAAATGAATTTTTTTTTGTTTTTGACATTTAATGTTTTGAATACACACTCCTACAAAAATATTCGGCTAAAATGTTATGAATCTGTACCATATTTTGAAATCCATTTCCATATTTCAATTAATATTGAAGTCCTAAGAGAAATTTTCTGCAATATAAAATTTAAGAGGTACGAGTTCTTAATATTACATTTGTATATAAACAAAATAAGAAATTGCAAATGAAGCTTGCAGTTTCTTGTTTCCCAAATTTGCTTGTGATGGAAAATCATTTTCTCTTTTATGTGTAAGCAAAAAATAATTTTTCCCTTTTTATTTATAAGCAAGTTTGTTTTCTTCCCAATTGAGCCAGAACATCTATTTTCTTGACCTGCATTGCTACAGTCTGTCTTTAAAAGAGTGTGACAAAATTGGATTATTCACAAAATGTTTATTACTGTACTATATTACTACAATACTTACTATACTATACAAATAACCTAATAAGAGATTTTCAAATTCGTATGCACTAATAGAAATTTTGTGATTCATTTTCACAATATTAAATATTATTTGTTTCATTGATCTCTTAAAATTTAGGAAGTGAAATGATAATTATCTTGATGCATCAGTGATGACAATATTTACAGATTTTAATAAATTTTTTTGCTTTGTTTTCGACAAAATAGTGTATGGCATTTAAGTATAAATGATCACTAGTTAAATAAACTCTTTCCAATGTTTCTAACTTTTTTTTTTACTTGTGAATAAAATCTATTATTCAAAAATAGTATTAAGAGAAATCAAACTAAAGTCATTAACATGATGATGAATGAAAAACAGAATCATCAAGAATTTGACGTCGCATTATCAAAATATAAACTTGCATCTCATCACAAGCCAGAGTCAGCAGTACTATGGAGCAATATTGGCTTGTGCTTCTTTCAGAAGAAAAAATATGTTGCTGTAAGTATAACATACAATTTAGACTTGAAGGAAATAAAAAAATCTACAGGCTGCCATTTGTACATTTATTTTTTAAGTGTCAGAAAATGTTCATTGTCATATCTTCATTAAAAGACACGAAGTGTTCTCATCTGCAAAGTCCAGGACTCTGTAGCTAAACAGGTGCAGTTCATAAATTAAGATATTTGAAGAAAAATATTTTTTTAATTAACTATCTTTATTATAAGTTTGTACACCTAATGCATGATGTTGACTTTTCTAAGATTTATAATGGCCAAAGAATGATATTCCTAAACTATCAATAAATCTAAAAGAAAATTGTCATTTTCTTCACCTTTGATCACAATGGACATGAACCAATCCAATTCCCATATACTCTTCAATAACCTTCCCTATCTTTCTTAATGTAATTGCAGTGATATAAGGTAAACAAATGTATCATTATAAGAAGCTGTAATACATATGTGATACAGTCAAATGAATTGTGTACATTGCATAAAACTAAATATTACTAGTTAACTACAAAATTCTTCACTGTCCTCAGGCTATCAGTTCACTAAAGAGAGCTAACTACTTGGCACCAACCGATTGGAAGATTCTGTACAATCTTGGACTAGTGCATCTGGCTACACAACAATATGCTTCTGCTTTTCATTTCTTGTCAACATCTATTAATCTGCAACCTAATTCAGGAAATTCATTCATGCTCCTAGCATGTAAGTTCACAAACAAATGTGGATGAACATATGAATAATAATTGTTGAAAATACATTCATTTTCTTTCTTAGTGACTCTTAAACATCTAGGGGACCAAGATAATGCTAACCAAGCATTTCAACAAGCTTCAAAACTTTCCCCAACTAATGCATCAATACCCTTAAACTTCTCCATCTTTCTTCATTCCATGGGAGCTCGAGAAAAAGCCATCATGCAGCTCAAACGATTTACTGATCTAGCGCAGAGTCAGAAAGGTCAGAGCCAAGAGGTGAGAATCCTTGTCAAAACATCTATATTTAGAGAATTCTGATGCTAGACTTCCCGTTCTAAGAGCCGATAGGAATGTAAGGCCTGAAGAATTGCAAATGGTTATAGAAATTTAGAATCTCATTTCTGAAACTAGAATATTTTAAAAACTCCATATGGCTTAACAACTGAACATCACACAGTATATTTAGTTTTTGTTAAAAAAGTTGCAATATGTGAGAACAAATATACTTCAATATCGATTCAGTGATATTAAAATATCTTTCTTATACAATTATCAAAATTATTGCAAGAAATCCACAAACACATTGTTCAATCAAAATATCTACAAGTTATGTTGGAAAATTCAAAATTCTTAAAAATTAGATCTTTAAATAATGTCACTTTCTGAAAATAGGGATGGTTTGGTTCAACTTTCTTTTAATGCATTTGGAAGGTTGTTTTGTGGTCTGAGCCTTTTGGTTTAATGGATGTGCTCTTAGCTTGTTAAACCTGTGTCCACATGTTTGAATCCTGCATAAGTAAACATTTGGCAGATTCAAGAAAAATTATAATATTATGTTATTGTTACAAATAATGTGAGAAGGAACTGTAGCACCACCACTGGTTTGTTTTGTAGCAAAGCTACCTGAATAGGCCTTCCCCCTCTCCCTCTTTCTTTCTTTTTTTCCCCTCAATCTAGCATACCAGACTTCCATGCATTCTGAAAAAATAATTTGTGTATGTTTTAATAACACAAAATACAGCCTTCCATACAACCATTCTTTCTTATGTATTGCTATTTTTGTCTGCAATAGATGCATCTTCTTCAGCTAACTGAATCTGGAATGTGCTTTAATTTCACATTTTAAACACCTATCTTCTTGTACTGATTAGAGATTAATTATACAGATGGTGGATACAGCAAATTCTTTGAGTGCTGTTCTCTCAGAGGATAACAATGCAACCAGAGACATACCACGGACAGAAAACCCTGACTCTGAGGAGCACCCCGAAGACAACAGTGGAAGAGAAGAAAAAGAAAGTGGAGAAAGAGATTCACAAGACACAACACAGGAGTCTAATACCCAGATTGAAATGGCTGCAGATGAAGTGTAGGCACACATGGACAAAATAATTATATTTAAAGTTTCAAATGTAATATATGTTAGATTCAAAAACACTCATAGCGAGAAAAAACCCAAACAGAAATAACATAAAATATTGCATTGTGATCAATATTAACATGCCACAAAGCATTTTGGTTTGTTTTTCTTCTTTTTTTTTTTCATTCACCACTAAACAAAGGTGTAACATCTCTGGGTCCCAGCAGTGGACGTCAACAACAGAAGTAATAATATCATGTTTGCATTTGGGGAATTTAAATGCTATGTAGAGTTCATATAAGTGCTGTGCATATCAGTGTTTTTGTTAATAAAGGCAACCAATAAATAAAAATTACCAATCCCATTTAGGATACAATGTGGTCTGTAATATGGTAATGTTGAATAAACCAACTTACAGTGCTCATGAACGCCTAATGGTGCATGCTCACATGATCTGGCTTGGGACTGTATTTGCCCCTCACACTGATGTATAAAATTCCTTATGGTAGAAGAAACTCTCATTGGGCAACGAAATGAATCCAGAATGCATTGTGTCTGTTTTAATGTTACATGCAAATTTTTATTTACATATATTCACATCCACCCAGAGTTCCAATTATCAGTATCAAATACTAAACTTTACTGGAATAAAAATATGCTATTTTCAACACTACAGTAGTTCTGTGGAGAAGAAAAGTAAATTTTGAACCTGAATGTTTACATATCGTCTGCCCACTATATAAATCCTTTGAATCGAATGTCTAAGATTATTATTTTAAATTTCTTGCCTTCTATATACTTATGTACTAAAGAGAAGTTATTGTAATGTTGTGGTTAAAATGTGGGATCAGAACTCTCACTGTGGGACACTAGTATAAAACTAGTAGAGGTAAAACAGCACATACTTTCTCGCCTATATTTTCACAGAAAATTATGCGAAAAGTACTCAAATTTTCAAAAAATTATACTTGACCTTGTTTCAAAATCTGTCTTTAAAGAAAAGATTTCATTAAGGGAAAATATGTCTGTCTTTAATATTTCAATTGGAGGAAGACTAAAAAAATTTTGAACTTGTGCAATTTTCGAAAAATCAGGATTTTAATGAACATGAGACATGCACCATTCTCTTAAACGTTCTTCACACTATCCAACAACAAAATTTAATCAAAAACAATGGAGCCGTTTTTTTTTTTTAATTTTGAAAATGTCCCAGATGCTTCATGTTAAGTACTCTCTAAAATTAAAATATCGGTTTCAAATTCAAGGGGCCACAACATCAGCCAGATTAATTGAGGATTATCAATTATGAAGAAAATTGGCTAAATGGTTTAGTCGCTAGCATTGGTGATGGACGGAGACCGATGTTTCATCGTCATACAATTCTTTGGTATCAAGGCCCCACATAACATGGATTATGGCTATACCACATGTTGGAGGATTTTGTTTAGATTTATCCACTTTTTCATTGCCAGAGCCCTGTAATAAGAGTTTTTTCGCTGAAAATTGCTTGCATTGAACATTGGAAAACTACAATAAAGATAAGAGATTTTTTCCTTAATGAAATCTGATCAAGAAAAATGTACATTCAATAAAGATGATGTTGAACTTTTTGAAAAAACTAGTCAATATTGCTTGAAGTTAATGCAATTTATTATAATTTTGCTTTTCAAAAACAGCTTTGAATTTTTTCTTAATTTTTTTCCTCAGATAGAGCAAACTACCATTAAAAAAATGGCACAGGTTTTCTTTGAACTCTCCTGAATGTTTCGAAAATAGCTTGAGTGAGAAATAGTGACATAGTATTTGCTACAGGAGTGCATATTACAGACAAAAATTCTTCTGCAAAAGTATAACGAATTTTGAAATGGATGACTCTGGACCAAAGTGTTTTTGAGAGAGAGAAGAAGGCAGGTGAATGTCAGTTCTCAATTCAATTGTTATTAAGTGACAAGACAAAACAAAACAAGATACAGGAAATATTATTGTACTCTCAGCAATGAAAGTCTTACTCCAAACTGCATGACTACTGAAACTAGGAGTCCTTATTGAATTACTAGCTGTGTCGAATTAAGCAAGTATGTTTGGTAATCCTTCCACCTTTCCCTTCCCATCACATTGTAATGCAGTTGCAGGCCAATTTCAATGGTGCCATATTTGAACATATTTGGTTGCAATAAAAACTTTAAAGTGGAAGTATATTATTTTCTTGAAAGTTCTTTGCACTTTGAATCATTACTTTTAGCTACCAGAAGTTCACATGGTAGATGCCAAGAATTACCAGATTGATAATCACAAATTAACTCGCAATTCAAAATCAGTAATTGATCATAAAATGATGATAGTACCTACCTTGAGACACTTTTAAACAGTAAAACCACATTAAAAAAAAAATTCAAGGTAGTGTACCAGTTTACATACAGGTAGAAAATAAAATGCTATAAGACAATTTTTCTAAATTGTCTTAACCAACAACGTAGTTGTTGGGCAAATGTCATTGTTCCTACATTCATATTTGTTGGGCAAATCTTGACTGACATGGGCTTTTACAAACATTATATTTCTTTAATTCTAGTACTATATCATTATCACAGGCACCAGAAGATATGGTTTTGCTCACAAAGAATGAGCTAATGCCATAAAAAAATAAAATAAAGATTGAAACTCAAGAATAATTTTTATTTATTTTTCTCCAGGAAGCAAATATACAGGTACTGATACATCAATCTATCATTAAATCACCAGTATGACTAGGTATTCAAGAAATCAATAATGAGAAATGCTGATTGTTTCATTGAAATTAATTTCACGTTTTCTGAAGGTTACCTTTAGATAACCTCACAAAAACATATTTTCCCTAACATAATTTCTCCACATCTGTCCATTTTTTAACTTATCATTTGACATTATTACTGGTAAGGAAAAATGCAAAACACGAAAACATCTCCAAAAATAATATAGCTGTCATATCACATACTCCAAGTATTGATTTTAAAATGTAGCTCATAACCATGTCTTTTTGTTAGTAATTCTTCTACTATACAGAATATAATGTAAGTAATCAGGAATACATTGTTTTTGAGGTATGAAACCTTTTATTTTGTCCTCTGAAAAAAATGTGTTTTGAGTTTTAATCACAAAATTGCTATAACAATATGTCAATCTGAAAACATTTCATTCAAATATTTAAATATCACAGTTTTGTGAGCTACAAATGAAACTGATGGATGACTGTACATATCTCACTCACCTTGACAGTCTGAAGAGGTGTAACTCGATACAGCAGACTGTAAGCTTTTTAATCACAGGATGTTTCTATTCACATCAAGCTAATCTTATTTAATGTATTTATGTCACTACAAATAACTCAGTTGGTCTGTGGGCTGAACGGAAATTACAAGAAGGTGAGGAAGGAAAAAGGCAACTGGATTTCATCCTTCAGACCATCCACAACAATAGCAAGATCATGGATACATACACAATCCGCTATTCATACTAATTATAAAAATGCATGGCATTGTAGAATGCAAATTTTGTTTTTGTTTATTAATTTAAGTCATAAACAAAATACAGTTGCAATATATGTAGTCCTGAAAGAGCTAGTAAATAAAACAATTTATAAGACCTACAAAACACCAGCAGATTCGACAAATGTTTAAAGCTTAACTTTCTCTCAAGAACTTTGTCACTCTTCTCTAACATCCTTCATTTTAATGTCATTCATCTAATCAAAAGAGGTCTAATTTTTATATTTTCAGTAATATTTTTAAAAATTGCTAAGGAAAACCTAGAAGATTTTCAGATTTTTTGCACCAATTTTATAGAATCTTACAAATCTACATAATCTCAACTTTCAATAGCTTTATAATCAATTTGAAAACTTTTACTATCCCTCATATTAAAAATATTAAAATCCTTTGAATGGAATTACTCTATAAAATCTAGTACTGCAAAATAATTCAATACAGTATTGTCCCAGACTTTCGAATAACAATGCATTTTTCATTAAAAATTGTATATTTGTGCACAGTAAATTAGAAAATTTCTATGAGTAGTCCCATAAATGCAATTTATAAATAAACATAAGTAAATAAATAACAAAAAATATTTATGATTCACAAATTTATATTGTACTCTATCAAAACCATACAAATAATTATTTATATCACAGGTTTGCAGGTTACAAATGTCTTTTGAATAATGTAAAATAAGTTCTTATAAGTACATAAATTCTCATTAGAAAAAAAACACTTGATATAAGTCTGAATTATGAAAACAAAAATAACAGAATTAACATTTTGTTAAAAGTCACTAAGTACATTTCATAATTACATACTGTACACAAATATGACATATATTACATTATTAAGACAAATCATAAGTAACAATAAAATTTTGTACAAAAGATCTACATTTAATATACAATTTTACCTACAGGAGCAAATGACTAGTTACCCATAATAAAGACAGGAACATGATTTTAATTTGTCTGCCTTGTATTTGTTCAGTGTTTTTCATTAATTTACTTTGTGCTCTAACATACCTCAACTGAATATCATCTCTGCAGCAATGTAACTGGCAAATGGACACCCCTTGTTGTCCAGATGTCAGGATTCATAAACAAGGCGCTGATAATGTGGGAATACCTCCACTGTCGGGACATGCAGGCCAAACTCCAGGGCCACCAGCACAGCAAACTCGCATGCAAGCAGATCCTTGCGATTCAATCGAAATACATTCTCTGTCTTCTGCAAAAATTTCAATGAAAGAACATTTTAATTTTATTAACAGACTGAGTATTATTACCTTATCTGTGAAGATAAACTAGACTTACAGCTTGTGTGAAAATATTAGTGTACATCAGCGTTTCTCAAGCTAAGGCTCACAACCTCGCATTTCATTATGAATTTAGTAAAATGAAAAATTGAATATTGATTTAAGTCTTTTCACAAAATCATATAATAATACAAAATTTTATTGAAAACATCAATATGATGGTCACTGTCTTTTGACTTCTCACTAATATTTAATTACAAAGATGACAGAGCAAATAACATTTTCTAAGGAATTCTAATAATACTAAGGAAAAGTGCATTCTTTAGTATCTGGTTCAAGATTAATAAAATTTGTTTGGTAACAATTAAAAATAAATGAACCATATAAATATAAAGCACCAACCACACAAAAACTGAGAAAAGAAAGGGTTTGACAGCAATAACTTTGCTATTATATTTGATATATCTATTTTGTTAGCATTTTTCAAATTAACACAAACAGCTTCAGTAATATTTACTCACAAATAATTTGGTTTCACATACATGCCACATAAGTGATATATCAAAAGAATTTTTATCAGACAGGAAAATTGATTTAGCAAAATATTAAATGTCATGGTATGTGAATGCCCGATTGAGAAACACTTCATGACTCAGAAAACTGCTATTAATTCCATTAATGCACAATTTTTTTCTTCACCTCAATAAGCATTTTCAACACTTCTCCTTTAACATCATTGAGTTTAGCAGACAGGAGAAGACAGGCTCCTGCACACAATTTCCGGTTCTCCTTGTTGATAAGATTCTGAAGAATCAATTTCTCAAAGTAGACATAAGCCTGGGCAACCGTAAGAAGATCAATGCCACACTCCTGTTTGGCAATTTTACGTAGCTCACGCTTCAGTGATCGCAATTTGCTCAATGTAAGTTTGATGTGAGGAAATTTTTCTTTGAATTTATCGTTGAGCTCCTTTTTCAGATCCGAGGGTCGAACATAGTCAATGATGGAAGTCTGAGAAATTAAGATTGTTTTTTAAAACGAAACTCGCATCAAGTTTCATAATTCGCAAGAGAGGATGAAATTAACCCTTCATTAGATGCACCATATTTCGGAATGCGGTTAGTCATGCTGGGTCTAGCAGCCCCATGCAAGTTTCTTTTGTTTTTATAACATGCTATGAATCTATTGGAGGAAACTTATTATTTATGTTGAGTGACATGTATTAGGAAGGTATTTGATGAGAAATGAATGTAAGTATATACTACTATATATTTTAGAGATGAATTATTTTACATAATGACATAGAACAAGAAAACAAGATATTACATAAAATCAATACTAAACATGAAGTCTTATTATTTCTTACCTTAATCTTTATTAACAGCAGTGTTGCTTACATTAAAGCAATTTATAAATATTTTTTGCATATTTCCATAAAAAGACGAAGGAGGACACCTTTTAATTTTTGAACTTTGCACAGAAAGAATTAAACATTGATTTTCTAGTTTTATTCTCCTTAGTCACCTTTTTATTTATTTTTTCCTTGTAATAAAGGACCTGCTTTGCAATTAACTTTCAGCTAAGCTCTTTGAGGTGGTACTATCAATGACGTGCATATTATTAGCCATTTTCTCAACAAATTACTCTCCCATTTATTGCAGCAATATTTTGAAGAGGAAAGAAAATTTTGTGTGATAACAATAATTATACTGTTTTATATTCTCTTTTACCTACTTCATATTGATCTAAATGTTCTAGATTTTTTTAACATTATCTTCCAATTCACAATTGGAATTTTCTTTCAAACATTAATCTCCAACATCATCTTATAAAAAGTTATCATGTCTTTCCTACATCTCCAATTTACCGATCAAAATGTTTACTCACATTGAGAATATAAGGGGAATATTTTATTCAAACACAGGAAGCACATTTGCAAGCTAAGTACAGTACAAAACAGAAGGTCCCCAAGTCTTTTTGCAAATTGCTTGTGATACTAAGAGGTGTGTGGGGTCTGGCAATCCCACACATCACAAACAAAGGAAAGAAGGGATATATGACCTATTGGCCTCTGGCTTATCTGGTGGTAACCTTGATAATGGATGCAAAATCACTGAACACAGATGTCACCAGATCTTGCTACCTTACACCTTCAACTCGGTGAAATATTGAATTTTGAAAATGCTATGGGTCTACTAGACTCGTGTGCATCTAACGAAGGGTCAAAGAAATGTCACAGGAAATATAATAATCATTAACAGTAAAAATCGTATCACAAATAGCTCTGAAATTGAAATCAGTAGTTCCCAACCTTCCCAGCTTTCAGTTTGCTTTTTAATAACCAGATTAAACAGCCACACTTATTTTACATTTTTATTATAAACATTAAAAAATTTAGATCAATACACATAAACAACAAAGAAAAATGTATACTGATTATTTTTATAAGAAAGTCAGCAACTTTACAGAATTGGAAGAGAGCAACACCTTTGTTGAATTCTTGGCAAAAATTATGATCACCACATTAACAAAATGTGAATATTTCTACCAAACCTAAACTAACTTAAAACTGTTTTAATCGAGGAATGCATAAGGCAATATAGGCTAGGTTTCAATAATTTCAGCATCTCACAATTAAAAAATATTCATGGCAACACACAATGTATTTCATTAATTAACATAATGTTTATGGAACTGCTGCTCAAACAGAATAATTATCTACATCGTTTTAAAACATATAGTCTTTCTTTTGGGCAAAGTAATTAAATAAATTGTTTCTAAACACACGGTCCAAGCTTTGGCGCTGTATTTTTAATATGCATAAATAAATAAATAATATATAACAAATAAATTACCATATAAGCAGTGAATGTGAGTAAGGTTCGGTGTTTCCCAGCAATTAGCTCAGGATCATCCAAAAGATTTGGGGAGTACTGCAAATGTGGCGAATGAATTCCATCATCCCAATCAAACACTTTGTTGTCACTGTATGGAATAGGGGGTGATCCAGGCACAATATGATTTGGATTTCGATACACATTTCCATCATATGAAAAACATCTGAAACATTTTTATACATAATAGAAGCAAAACTGAACTGGGTACAAATTCAGAAAGATGGAGCATATTTTCAAAATTATAACCTTCCATTCTAACAATTATTATACAATGGATGAGAACAACATCAGAAATTAAAAGCTTACATTATGGAATTGAAAACAAATCACATTTGATACCTAGCCTATCACTATAATGAGTTTTTCTCCTAAAAGCATTTAACAACTTAATATCATAAAGAAACAAATTCCGATATTATTTTACCTAGCTACAATGTGATGCCTGTTCACAATTGGATGTCCATGCAACAACTCAGTAGCATCATTTTCAAGATGAAATTTACGTTCTCTTGCAAACTGACGAGATGGAACCAGCAACTGCCCATATGAAATTTCCTTCAAACAAACAGAAACAATCTCGTTAAATAGAAAATGAAGTCAAGAGAACCAAGTGACATGCAGGCCCATTATCATACACAAGTCCTTTATAACAGGGTCATAAGTACGTGGGTGTGGGGCCTCTCCAATAATTGAGGGAGAGAGGGATGACATCCACCAACTACACTATCTAGAAAATTGCATTTAGAGGCAAATACAAAACCATCAAACTTGGTGTAGTTTTCATGTGGTAAAGAAAAATTAGACTATTGCTTTTGGACTTAACACCATTAATATTCCTTCACTAACAATTTTTAAAAATTATTATGGCTATCCTCCAAAATACAATTTTAAATCTAAGAAATGGGATTTATGGTTAGAAATAATAACAAGATGATTAAGAAGTAAGCAAGTTTAATTTTAAAAAGAATCGTACATTGCAGTTTCTCACGAACATGGGTATTTCCAAAGTTTGCCTAGGAAAATAGAAATACTTCATCTCATCTTTTCATCAAATTATAGGTTTATTGCAAAGGATCAGGCATACAACACACTCGAAGATGAAAAGTGTCAAATCTTAAGTTGATTCCTGAATGATTCAAACTTTAGGAATGTTAGAAATAAAGAAGGGTGGCAAAGTATCTTTGTTTATTTCAGTGATGTAAAAACATTCACAAAATGTGTAAATATATGTGTAATATTTATAAATAACAAAATATACATTTATAAACTTTGGCTTTCCAAAAAGAAAATTGCTTCTGAAGTACCAGCATTGCAATATAACCAACTAGCAAAGGTACAAACTACCATAGCTGATGGGCTGTCTTGCTCTTAAAAACTAATAAAATTGTGGGGATCTAAAAAAGATTTTAAGGATTTAGCAACAAAACCATTTTATATGTTAGTAAAACAGATAATTTTTGTCCATTATTGTCGCATGATACAGCATAAAATACATTTTCTTTCCTCAAACAGTAATAAAAAAAAACTGATGTCATGGTAATGAAATTTTACTACATCGAAACAGAAAAGATTATTCGTTCATAAAATGAAGATCATTCCTTCCTCAAAGTTTTTTGGTAGTCCCTTAACTATTGTCAATAGCCAATTTTTCTTTCGTTCTACACAATGTCGTCTTGAACTTGTCTCCCTCTCTCTAAATCTTTACAATCATTATAATTCATAGTCCAGTATTTTTTGTGATTGTCACCATTCAAATATTACACAGACCTTTTGAAGAAATTCTAAGATCCATTATGAGCTCAAGTAAATGAAAATAATGACAACCATTTCCAAATTGCCTCACCTGCCCTTCCTGACCCTTTTCCACTCCAAGAAGGTCAAATGGATCCACACCATCTGTAATTGCAGACAGTGGTCGAGTCCCTGATGCATGCCGACGTCGTCCACCCTCTCGACGTAAATCCGATCTGAAGATTCACATAGTATTTATGAGCAATAAAAGAAAAGAAAACAAACAAACATTAACTGAAACTCGTTAATACCCCAAAGGACAGATATACATGCACATGCACTGACCTTGCACTGCGCAGATCTCTGTTGTATCGAACATGTGAAAACAGAAGAAATGGAATGTGTTTCACAGACACTAAAATAAGTCTGTCTTCATGAATAAGCTGATGTTTATGGGGTCTAATAATACGCACCTCCTTATTTGGTACTGATTGAGCCACTTCAGGAATTGTGCTACTTGATACTCTCATTCGATTCCCTATCAAAATAGCAATACAAAAGATCAATGTAAGTTATTGATTACACAGAACATCGCTGAAATTACTGTACACATTCACATAAAATATCTCACCAAAATTAGATCCCAAACTTTCATTACTACTGAAATGATGATGTTTTTCATCACACAATGAAGACTGATGAGCCATTTTTCTTTTCTGATTAAGTGAACCAAATCTTCGTTCAATAGCATAGTCGCTACCAGCAGTGCTTGTCCTGAATGACCAGAAACGAAACAATTTCTTTAAACCACTTAATAATCTGAATATCAATCACCATTCTAAGGACACATTTTGATGCACATATTAGAAACATTTATTGCTAGTGGAAAATAAGTCTTACCTTTCCCGAAAAGGAGTGCTACTCTTGGAAAGAAAATTCATGTGTTCCTGCTCCCATACCTTTGATGGTGTAGGAACTTCACTAGGATTTGAATCTGAACTATTTGACTGTTCAGGAGACTTTCCCTCACCAGGAGACGGTTTATTAACTTTCTTAATCTTGACATCATAGCTTATGGTGATGGGCTCTTCCTCTTTCAAATTTTCTTGGTCACTAGTGCATTCATTACCTTCTTGGTCCAAAGTACTCCGAGTATTATCTTCTATCACACGTTTGTTTCTTGGTAATAAACCCAGTTTTGTATCCCGATGGGTTCCATCGAGAGATATGTTAGATAAAAAAGTTAAAGCTGCTAACCTGCGGCGGGAGTGATTTCTTCTGTAAGATGTAGCCATTGTCATGTACATTCAATTTTCTATCTTTGTTTTTGCTTGTCAAATCAGTTCATTGCGCCAATTGTCAAATTGAGACGCAGACAACTTTAAATCACAGCTTTGGAAGCGTATTTTAGCGTGTAGGTATTAATCATTTTGCACGTTACTGCATAACGACGCAACTTTTAAGTAGCTACGCAAATGGTAATAGCGAAATCTCCCGGGTTGTTACGAATATATTCGTTTCGTTCTCAGTTTAAATCTCACTGCATTCATTTGGCGGAAACTAGGCATGTTCATAATTCTTCGATAGACAAGAAATGCACACAGTTTCATCATATAACCTGTATTTTACGGAGCCGAAAATGAGTAGGACGACAGAGAGAAAAAACATCATACAACGGAACTTCACTTCATGTTTTCTCGTCCTTCCATACAATTTATTAACAACTTGAGTATGACCCCAACGCTGTCCCAATGATACTGCCAGGATACTGCCAGATGGCCAGGGCCAGATACTGCATGATCTGCGCGACGCGCGAGATAAACTGCATCATACAGCTGGTTCAAAAACATAAGAACGTTTTGAGAAACGTACGTCATTAGAAGGTCTCGCTACAAGATGTAAGAAGGGTGGTCTATACTCGAGATGTGTCGTTCGCAAACGAACTAGTTCAATTGATCTTTCCTAAAAAAGGAACGGTATTTAGTGAACCATCATTTTCGTTCTTCCAGTGCCCTTTTGTGCCTTTCAGTGCATTTATTTACTTGTACAAACATTTAGTAAAACTCATTGCTAATAACAGTCGCTTAAGTACACATTTTTCTCATTGTAAAATAAAAATTAATTATTAACTAGTTTATACTACTGAAATTATAAAATGTAATTTATAATATTTAATCAATAAATATTATACAATTTAACTATTTCGTGCTTCAGTGCTTAATCCTACACACGCCTAAATTTATATTTTTTGTGAATTATACAGTAAAAATATCAAACCATTTGATTAAAAAATAGAGTTTCAGTAGAATTCAACATTTTAAATCCCGCGGAATGTTACAAACATTTCAAATTTTCATGTACATGTACATCAGGCCGTACATTTCGTACCAACGATTGCGGCTTCCAGAAGCTGTACAAATAAGGCGCAGCGGCGCGCCGTTTTAAAACAAAAAAAAAAAAAAAAAAGTTTTGAGATGAAACTACGGGAGAAAATTAGCTTGTTTTAATCTTGACCATTTTGCATTAAATGTGTTTTGAATTATGTCGAAACTTTCAATAAGAATTTTTTTTTTTGAGCAGAAATGTAAGGGAGAGGAATCTTTAGAGTAGATTCCTAGACGCGCTTGTGGTACTTTCCGGTTCCTAATTGCGACGATTTTGGCTGACAACGAAGCGGTCTACACTCGCGTCGGCATTTTACAGTGTGACAGTTTATTTTATTAGCGTGCCGCGATCCTGGACAATTCTGCTCGGGCGACGGGCCCTCACACGCCTGGGATCGGCGCGCTGAACGCCCTGGGAACGCTGCGGGCGGGAGAGTTTTAGGGTCTTGTCTTGCAAAAGGCATTCTTTCCAGCCTTGTTGAATAGTCGGTTTGTGATGGCTCGCTCGAAATTCACTCTCAAACAAAAAATGTTTGTATATGACACATACGTAAAGAATGTCAAATCGTTACGTGCATTGTATCCTGGAGCATTTCTTCCAAATGTTGACAAATGAGCGTAATTACGGTCATTTTCAGCAGGTCTTCGCAACCGCACACTCTGCTTCTCTTTCATTAAGGGTTCGCATGGCGTTTATGGTGACAGAATTATCACACGTGGTTTGTACCCTGTACGCTCTTCTGACCTACTCTGATTTTTTCTTTGGGGATTCTTGAAAGACCGCATATTTGTGACAAATACCCACACAGAAGAAGAATTAAGGCACAACATAAAGGAACAGATCTCTGCAAAACCACAAGACATTATCTACCCAGTGAACCAGAACTTATTTTGTTGTACACGTAATCTTCCGTGGCTCGAACCATAAATTCTCGGCTATCCGGGAGACAGCGCGTCGTTGGCTGGGAGGCCGACGTTTCGCCTGACATGTGGCAGACAGTGAGTCACTGCCCTGAGGAAGCCCGCGACATGTCAGACGAAACGTCGGCCTCCCAGCCAACGACGCGGCGACTCCCGGATAGCCGAGAATTTAACTTATTTAGATATCAAGAGTGTATCAGAGCCGTGGTGAGCAGTTCTAGCATATACTATAATATGAGTAGAATTTACACTAAACAGTAGCGAAAAGTTACTTTCCCTCGTCGGCGATTCTACCTAACGCCCTGCCTCGGTTTCCCTGGCATGTGTTGCCTCGTTCGCGGAGGTCAAATCCGCGCACGACCGGCACACTAGTGAAATGGTTGCTCTGTATATGCCGTGCGGTGGCAGCGGCGGTGCGCGACCCAAGTCCCAGGACTTGGGCGCAGGAGCGAGCACGCGGCGGAGTAGGCATAGTTCGCTCTCGTTGTCATGTTCAGAACATTGCTCGTTGAGAAGCTCGCAGGTTCTCGAGGTCATGTGAGACGTGAAGCTTGTTCATCCTGATAGGTCGTCGGTCACGTGTGAGGTAGGCAATCCTACAATGAACTACAAAATACTGTTTAATTACATGATGCAGCAAACATAATCTTTGCATTAGGCTGTACCAGGACAGAACGCTCAATGCCACAGTTGTCATAAGAAAAGATAGTCTCCATGCTGAATCGAATCTTGAAAAGTAAGCTTACGTTTAATATTATTTAAGCTTTTAAATCCATTTTAAATTGTGACATTTAATCTAGTTAAATGTTAAACAGTTTAATATTATTGTATGTTGTAATTAATGCATAACACAATACAATGGACAAATAGATTTTTTTGTTGTTAAATTTGCTATTTAAATTAAAAAATAAGTAGAGAGAACTTTGAGGGATTACTTCAGAATGTAGGGCAGGCGTGTCAAGGTCGCGGGCAAGGTAACAAGCTTTCTTAGAGCTCACAGGCACTGCGTCCAGAGAAATTGGCGCGAGATTTAAACGTAACGGTTGTACAATGCTCAGCGGTACGTCACTGGGCACCTGACCCATGCCAGCCTTTTGGAGAAGTCAGTTGACAGTTATTTCCCCAAGATAGAGATAAAACCCATTTCCTCCACGTAAGCAAAGAAATTATCCATCAAAATGATTACATTAGTAATATTTGACACATATGAATTGAGAATAAAATTAAACATTTTGAAACGAATGGATTTTGATTTTGTAATCCTGTTTACTTAAGAGTGATATAAAAGAATTAACTTTCAGATTAGGAGATTGAACAGACAAGTATTCTTGTCGGTAAGGTCGGTGTCGGTTTTTCCTTAAGCGAGAATTGTTAATTTATAGAGACTTGTTAATTTATTTCACGTTACTAATAAATACAATAAATAGCTGAATGATTTAATAATACATCTTAGAAGAATTATATTTCCCGCGAACCCCGTTCTTATAAACTAGTTAATTAAAAACGATCGTACTAAACAAACATTCACATAAAAGAATGCTTTGCTCATTTCCATTTTGAGATAAGGACCCTTCTGTAGATCTGTTGTGCTGAACCTGTTTTCTTTGGGTGTCCCTGTCAACAATACAAGAAAGTATATGTTGCAGCACCAGGAGTTTTATACTCGTGCCCTGACTATACTTCAGTATAGTGATTATGAAAACTTGTATTATTAATTTTTCGAAAAAGTTGGCAATGTCCTTACCCCGAGTTTTAATATAACAGCATCGAACAGCTGCCATGCTATGACTAAACCACCTGTGAAAGTATTTAACCATACATACAAAAATCATGGCAGTGTATCACAGAAAGCTTTTTCACTTTCGCTTTTTCTATATGATTTTTCTTATCGCTTCTCCCTACTGATAAATCACAAACTGTAACATATATATCTTAAGAAGCAGAACTCGTATATACATCGATCGCTATGTCGTTGTCCAATAGTGTATAAACTATAACATAACCTCAGATTTTAACATACGCTTTCAGTTATTTTCAGTATTTGGCGCATTTTGGAACTCTGTTGGACATTATTTCAATTGTGGAATAGTCCTATTAAATACCACTCGTGTTTTGGAAATTCTCAGATAAATCCCCTTCTTGCTTCCCAAGTCAGGGATTTATCGACAATTTCCAAAGTACTCGTGGTATTATCTGTGATAACAGCATAGGTAGAGATTTTAAATTCCACCATCGCCCAAGCTACAATTTCTGTAGCACCCCTAACTATGAATAAAGGCGTATAGATGAAGTCAGAACTTGAGCAAATATTGGGTTTCTACATTTGCAACAGACGAGCTGCAAAAACATGCAGTTCACTGTGCTGCAATAAAGTTTTTCGCATTATCAGCTGCAGCTACTGTCTGGTATGCATATGCAGCAGCATACGATTTCCGACGCCTACAAATGATAGTACCAGCGAAATTACAATTTTTGTGTAAATTAAAACAGCATTATAATAATATTTTAAAGGAAGAGCGCAAAATGTGTGCTTCAGCAAGTTAGGAGGAGCTGTCTCTGTACATGTCCAAAGGATAAGAAGGATAATTTAAAAAAGGAAATAAACATCACAATAGTTCTAATATTCTCTCAACAAAGATACATGCTGTAAAACTGTGCTTGTCAGAGAATAACAGAAGCACCACAAACAATATTATACAATTATATACAGATATTTAAACAATGCATTTGATTATACAAGATATTCAACATTAATACATTTTCTCTCCCATGTCCTCCCTTTCGTTAAAAATTAGTTTATCAATAATTCTTGAAAATATATTTACAAAACAGAACGTGAATGCAAGTGAACAAATTATTACATAAATATTTATATCTAAACAGAAATCATTTCACCTGATGGATGAATACAAATAATATCGTAATTTGGTCAATCTACATGAAAACTACTTCGCCTCTCATTTTGAAGATTATCCAAAGCCTTTCTTTTTACTTTTAAATATTTGATTAAGTAAGAAAATAAATATGTACTAAGTTCGGAATGATTCTCAAAATTTTAAGTGTTGACCTCTGTCATACTTCAAGATCAAAGATTCATTAGAAACTGGCAATTGTTGCAATAAATGTTCTACGTCGAACAAAAAAAGGAATATACGAAACTAAGTGTGAAGCACCTCTAACACCAGTTTTTATTTTTTAATCAAAATTACCGCTCCAAACACAGAAAAAGTTATTTTTAATTAGTTTTTACAGCGTCTTCTTTGTCGAAAACCATGAGGGTCACAATACAAATAACTTTTTAAGAACATTTGAAGAAAATAAAAGGCGACGAAAGAGATGATTTACAGCCAAAGGAGTGATAAGCTTTTTAGCAAAAATTCTTACCTTTTAAATGAACAGTAAATTTAATTAAAAATTCAAAAATTTTATACCACAATGTAATCTTCATTAACTGAAAAACTTGTTATTTAAACTTAATTAGAAATTAGTAACAAGTTTACGTAGACTTATTGATAATACAATGATCCAATTTAATAATGAGTAAATATTACTGACTGAAAATAAAATCGAAGGAAATGGGGAGGAAGGATTTCTAGTACTAATTTAGAAGGATCAGTGCCCTTCACAGAATTATTTACTCACTTTTCTACCCCTGTTTGTACATTACATTTTCTGGGTAAATGTACACAAAGAACATCAAAATTATTTTATACAAAGTATATGCCTACACCAAATAAACATCGTAATTTTGTGTAGGAACAGTTGCACAGCAAAACAAGCGAGAGAACTACAGCTTCGACTACATCTACATAATACACTAATAAATTACCTACAACCATCCTTGCTGTTCCTGTGCAATAGACGACCCAAGGAGAATGAACTATAATACAAAATGTTAAATATAGACTGTTTAGGTAACCAAATAACATAGAAATTCCTCAGTTCCATCTTTTCAACAACCAATTACATTAAATCTTCCCTACTTTAGTTTTGAAATGTCTTTGTGGAAAACTTGTTAGTATTGTACACTGACATAAAATATTTTTTGTCACAATATTTCCTGTCCTCACTTCTGTTGCTTTTATGCACTTTTAAATGCTTGAATTTTATTAGTTTCGTATTACAATGAACATTTTTATGTGAATAAAGTTTTCTTTCAGGGTTGTGTTATGTCGTTCAAAAATATTGACTGGGTTACTAACAAAGTACAAAGTCGGTTAGTACAAAGAAAATGGAACTAGATTTAAATTTCTCACTCGAACTTGATACTAGGATCGTCGACTCATTGTCAGGTCAACAACGGTGTCTGACCTCTAGGGCTGTTACTAGACTTGGGACATCGGGGCCATAGATGTTAACGGAGGCACCCTTTTTATTGTTCCTTCCAAAATTATCACTCCAAAACTAGTCACGGTTGATAGTTTTCTTAAGCAAAGTAGTTAAATACGCTTTAATCAAATATTAAAAAATCAGATAAATGTATCGTTTAATATATCAATTTTGATTCCTGATCAATCCTGTTGAGGATTGCAAATGCATAAGAATAAAATCACCAATACGAAAAAAAATATCCCCCTCATTGTAAGGTTCTTAAAGCTCGGGGACCCGGGGTACTCCCCCGCGGTAGCATGGCTCTGCTGAGTTCCGTCACACTTTTACTGCATATGCAAATTGCGGATTTGGACGAATGGCAACTTCCACAATACCTAAATTACTACAATACAAAGTCAAAGAAATGGTTCCAAAGTACTCAGGAAACTGTTCTCAGATGTAAACATAACTGCATCTTTTCGTCCTCCTCACTGTGATACTAAGAACGTCATAACGTATATTACATAACACCAAAATGTAAAATTAAGCGAAATGTTATTAGTTTTATAAGCTAGCACGAAAACATAAGGCCGCAGAATTTCTTCTCCAAAGTACACCAAATTATTTGTATTAACACTAAAATGAAGCTTGTGTAAAAACGTGTAGCACGCAACTAAATATCTCTCCAACACTGTCAATTACGCACTTATTTCTATTGAACTTGCATACATTATCGGGTTTATCCTCTGCGCTCTGAATGCAAGAGTGCCAACATTTGAGAGCTAGTTCTGCTTGGTAAAGGAGCGAAACTGCTTATCCCTCACTCACCTCCATAACATTTTCGGTCACCTGACTTCAAATGCGTTACTCTGAAGTTAGCACTAAACACAGGAACAGGTTTTGTTCTGCCGTACGTCACCATCATTCGAGCAGGTTCAAATCTACCGACACCGCGGAGTTACGCACCTGATGATACATTTCATTCTCGCTCACTCTCATAATGTCCTCTTCTCAAAAATGCTTTTCGTTTCTTTGGCAAACGGAACACATTGCCGGGAGAACTTTTAACCGATTTGGAAATTTTTTCTGAAGAATAAAGAAAAAGAAAATAAAAGAAAATAGATCATTGCGGTGGGCAATTTCAACAATAAAATAATCAAAAATTTAAAAAAATGGCAGAAGATAAACAGATTTTTTGTTTTTCAATATATTATTAATACTATTGCTCATTTTTCGTAGTATGTCAGTTAATTTTGGTCACAGATCGTCCCTGATCTCAACATCGAATACAGTCCAATATCCATACCATCTACATAGTATTGTCAATACTACACATTTTGTCAGATAAAGACACTTGTACTGCAATAAGAGTGTAACAAATGCGCGGAATTTATTTTATGACTCAATTATACGGATAATTAAGTGTGTAGCAGTACGAGTACAATTACGGCCAGTACATGCTCGATGGATTCCTACGACTGCGATTTTTGACAGGACCTGAGCACAACTGATTATATTATAAATTTAATTTTATACTTTAAAAAAATATCTCGTGTATTTTCAGAAACATGACATTTTCACGAGAGAAAGAAAATGTATTTATTATTGTAAGTGTTTTTACTGAATATATATCTTCTAAGTAATGGAAGATTTACGAATTTTGTGGCCCTGGACATTTAAATGCCGCGTTTGGTCCCACGCCCTATATAGACAATGAACTATGAAGAGGAAATTCTACGGTTTCTACATAGAACAATGCATATTCATCTAAAAACCCGTCTTTCTGTGGCACATTCTTTACAAATTCCTAACTTGTATTAACTATGTTGACTTCAAACGTAGTACAGTCCTTTCTAATTTGAAACAAAAACAAAATGCTACGTCCCTACTCTTTGTTTATGGGATCTCATGTTTAATAAAACCACTTGGATAAGTAACAAATTCTCCGAATTTCATTTGAATCTTGGTTCAAAATAAACGACTGAATGAAAACAAAGAAAATAATGGAAATTTGTTTGTCGAATTGGCAAGGACATTTGGAGAAACCGTCTTAGTGAACTGCAACTGAGGATAAACGCTCTGGGGGGGGGGCTTTTCTCAACGCCAAGCTAATCAAACTATTCCAATGCCCTGTCATAGTCGTGCTTCGCGGAAAACAATGCCACATGCCGTCAGGCGTCAAGTAAGATTACATGATTTTTTGACGGAAATTTCTTCTCTGGATAATTGTTTCAGCAACATTTATTGACGAGCACTATTCTTGTTTTATATTGCAACATTTTTTTTGGGTTCAAGGGCAGTTTCTTTAGACGAGCTCATCTCAGATGAAACATGAATCAGAAATCGCAATGGACAGTTTTAATTCATATCAACAATGTTTCCTTAAAACATTTCCTATACATTTAGTCATAATTGTAAGTTAATGAACATACCTGAACAACATGTCTTAGAAAGAAATGGCACTACTTTGTATCAATTCAAAAATTTAAATTATAAACTTTCTGAAAAAAATACTCCCTCTTCCATTTCTGCCACATGAAAGAAGTCGATCGAAGGAGCCGAAGGCTAGAGGCCATCCTCAGATATTTTAATGCAATGACGAGATGAAAATCATTGTCTTTGACTCCGCGAGACACAGTTGTAAATCGCAGAATTTGACGGGTAAAGGTCAGAAGATTTGGATGGTCGATCGATCACGCCCCTCACCAAATTGCCAAGCGTCCCAATTCGCGAAACATTTGGAATTCCGGCAGAAGATCTCCAAGCTGCCAACAGGCAGACCGCTGTTGCTGGGCCTGTGCAGCTGCGATGACTGAGATGAAACGGTCTTCATGTTCCGATGACGGGGAACCAAGGTGGCGAATTCTGGCCGGCGGTGATGGCGGCAGCAGTGCGAGGAGTGGCCACCGGGAGCGCTAGCAGCAGCTGGGCGCCTCGCAGCAGGGAGGGGCGCCCGCAGCAGGCTGCCACGGGAGGCGCAGACGCACCTGGAGATAAACCCAACTCTTAAGGCTAAATGCACCGAAAAATACTTGTAGGAAAATTCAACAGATCGCAGCACTATCAAAAGGGGAATTTACTTTACTGATAACGTCTGAACCAATGGTTCGATTTTCGATTTGTAAACGGCATTTG